CAATAAGTTCATCTTACAAAAAGTAAACTTGCGAGGAAAAAAATTAAGAAACAGCAGGAAGAATAGCTTTAAGTCTTATACAGGAAGAGAGAAAATGAATGCTTGTGCTTTTAGATTTTATCTTCCCCAGAGTAAGATGTATGGCAGCTACTGCAGAGAAAGCAATCAGATTCCCACTTCAGTCCTTACTAGTTTATGCCTAGAAGTGCAAGTTGCTCACTGGTGCTTCCTCCTGCTCCTGCCATCCTAGCAGAAGGTCACTTGCCAAATAACAAAGAAGAAAACATTGCTGGGAACACTTGGAGAGAAGTGGAGGAAAAGGTTGACACATTAAGGATTGGATTCTGGAAATCTGTCAGATCTGAGAAAGCCAAGTCCCAAAGTCAAAATCAATATTAAATGGATTCTAATAAACCAGTTCTCATCAAGGATGAGTCAAAAGAATTTGTAAGGCAGTAACAGGAAAGGCCTCTGGAACAAATGCTCAGGAAATACTGTAAGTTCTTCTCTTAAATTTTGTTTTTCTTGTTTTTAATCATTTCTTACGTATATATTATTATGGCCAAATTTTCCCACTAGTTAGATTTTTCTGGTTTCGAAATATGTATGAAAGGCATGCAAAATATTGAACATATGAGTGATAATGCACTGCTGTCCTCATCCTTTGGTCATCATGTGATGGTATAGCCAACAGAAACCAAAAAGCCGCCCTACATTGCTTTCTTAATCAATTTCTGACATTACAACATAATTTCTCCAACTGTGTCTACCAGAAGCCTTTGCAAACAGAAACAGTCTTACTATAGCCAACTCTGTTCCATCCAATCTATTTCATTACCCAGTTTTCAGCAAGCTTCCCTTTCATCTTTCTCCAAATCCACAGGGCAGCATTTCCTAGTATTATTTCATCAAACTGTTTCACTCATCTAATCCACAGTGCAAATCAAAGAAATCAAATGGCTACTCGGTGTGCTGCCAATCTATCCATTCCTTCTAAGACTCATCCATAAGGAAGTTAACACTTCAGAGCAAAGTTGGACACTGCTACATAGCTACCTGTCCATTTGTTCTGCAACCAGCATCTACCTTGCAAAGTTGGATTTTGCTTGGTCAAAATAAACAGGTAGCAGAATCTGGAAAATGCCACTAAAGCAAAATACAATAATGTCCAGGAATATAAGGACAATTTTCAGAACTTGCCATAAGTCTGTTCCCAATTCTGAAAAAGGTATATTGATTATAATACTGTAGGTTTGTAGCTTTTCATGTTTAATGCTATATATTATATACATATTCATTAGTAAGCATATAAAATTCCACTTCATATACTTTTATCAAAAAAAGTAAAATTAAGTGGGCTTACAATTCTCAAGAATTGTATAAACAGTTATAACACATAATTTGAAGCAGAAGAAGGAAAGAAAGATCTTTTGAATGCAGTTTAATGAATTGCTACTTGGGTGAAATAAAAGATCAGTTGCTTTTTTGTAAAGGAAGAATAGTGAAACATTGACATGTCATTTTCTCAATATCAGAGTTTCCCAGAACTATCAAGTATGTGTCAGAATAAATTTATTTTGCTAATGCCATCAGAGTTAGATGCCAACTGATAACGCATTTTTAGAATCAATGCATGCAGAACTGTCTAAATTCCTTAGAGAGGTCCATGCATAAGGGAAAAGGTGAGGTTCCATTACCTCACTGACATTTTGTACCTCTTGCTAATAGCACCATTACTGTAACCCAATGTACAAGAGGCCATCAATGCATTTTCCTGACTGGCACCATTATTTCCACTGGGAAGGGAAGGCCAGTTTGCACGACATGATTAAAGCCTTTATGTAGAAGAATGTATATACTGCACAGTGTCATAAATCTTAGCAAGAGGCTGTCAAGTAAAATTGAAACCACTTATCTTGACCTATCTGCTCCTCCTCAACACATACATGCTACTTAGGCTTCAGTTGGTACACTCAAGATTCTGCAATTCATAATTTCTTTTAGAACAGAATGGGTCCATGTGGTGTAACAAGAAAGTGGCAAAATGAACTGAATACAGAGTTTTCTTCTCCAAAAGAAGATGTACTAACACACACACTATACATGCACATACATTTGCTGTGTAATTTGATCAATATGATCAACAGCAAATATACAAAATACAAAATGTCCACAGATAATAAAAATCTATAAGGGAGGTAGAATAAAGATAATCATTAATGGCAGAGAGAGAATAGATTCTTCCTCAGAATGAAATTGATGGTGCTCATCCTTTAAAGGTAATTGGCAGGAAATTTAAATCCCAGATTTACAAATTCAGGCTATAATTTCTTCATATGCATGTATTGTATGTGGAACTCATTGCAACCTTTCAATGAAAATATTGCAATGATTATAGTAAATTGTCTATGCAATTATCATCTACATGCATGCTTCTTCCTAGGATACAAAGCTATGTATTCCTACTCCTGTTAAATTATCAAAATTTACAGAGAACCCAAATCATTACTTCCAATTACACAGATAACATTTCTCTTAATGATATACACCATAACTCATGATTTTAACAACTAAACTGTAGTCTGAAGTAATATACTCCATTTTATTGCCTCATTCCCAAACTATTCTGTTAGAAACATAAACCTATATTTATATTCACATGATTCACATGAATAGTCCCTAACTGCATTTCTCAGTGTGAAATGGTCAGCATTTCCAGGCCCTCAGCCATGTAAGGTGACAGACTTGGCAACCATTTGCATCACTAAGAAAACAAGCATTCCTGTAATATATAGTTGTGAAGACAGCTACACAACCTTACAGTTTAATTATCTTCTTCACAAATATTTCTTTCCTAAATCATTCACATCAACAGCGCAACACAAATAAGTACCGGTAAGAGCAGCCCCATCTATTTAATGCTGCCCAGACTCTTTTGTGGTAAATAGAAATGGAACTCTTGATTGCACTCTTGCCCCCAAGCGTGGTGTGACTTCTCAGATACAATAGCAAATAGACATCTTGATTGTTTACTTGGGCAAAAGCTGCTAGGTGGTTATCTCAGAACCTCCCTCATTTCAGACCTTAATCCGAAAGATGGGAAGATGGAAACCAGTTGAATACTATTGGATGGGGGGACTTTTAAAAGTAAAGTCACTTAAACTAGAACACTGGAACTAATCCCTCAGAGAGGCAGTGAGCTCCCATTCATTGAGTGTGATCAAGCAAAGGAAGGACATCTGTCAGTCATGAATCCTTTTTCTTATGTTCCTACAGAGGGCAGGAGTTTGGACTTGATGGCCTATGTACTAAATGGACCCTTCTTACTTAATTAAGTAAGTTTGTGAAGAAAAGTTGACATCCCCTGCCCCACTAAAAAGTCCATCCCATCTGCCTTGTCTTTCATTCTGAATTCATTTCCAGGACCTCAGGAAAATTTATAGTAACGCTAAGATGAGAGATCAAAACTATCAAAAAATTGATGTTTGGCTGTCCCAGGTTTCCCTTCTCACAATATTAATTAGAGAGAGGAATGACAATAAGTAGCACATGGCCAGATCAAGACCTATCTATAGCCAGGAAAATGTAAAGAAATCAAATTCTATATTCATTCATTCTTGGTATGACTGATGCTAATTAAATGTCTCCCACAGGCTCTATGTAAAAAGGACCAACTTACAGTCCCTGTGCCAAGTTAAAGTTTTATTCTCCTATCATTTCCCCAAATTCATTTATTTAAATAATGTTTTAATTTTAAAGGATCATTCTCAGAATATTTTCTCATCTCCTAACCCTGGAACCATTTTCTAGCTATCGTTTCCAGAAGATAAAAGGTAAAAGGAATTACTGCTAAACTGCAATGGATTCTGTAATAAAAAGACTAAGTTCATGAGCTGCCTCCATGAGAAAAATAAATCTACTCAAACAAAAAACTATGCAAGCAGATTTTCTTGTCATTTTCCCCATCTACCCACATTTACACTAAAAATGTTTCTGTTTACCTTTATTTACTTATTCAATTTGTTACGCACTGCAGTGCAATGACTCTTGGCAGATTACATGTCTCCCAATTGAGGAAAGCATAAGTAGTGTATACACAGGCTGAACTGAGAAAAAAGAAGGACTTCATTGGGTATTAATTATACTTATTATAATTTAAATACATCCAATAGACATAAATATACCATCTGCATGAATTCTTGTCTTTTGCACTGAACTTGTCTGAATGGCACTGAAACTACCAGGTGTTTTGGACAAAAGTGAATCTTTTTTAAAAAAATTACTTGTATGTTACAGAATATGTATATGTGTACACATAGAATTCCTACAGCAGTCCAAATATGGACCAAAGGGAGGAAAGACAGAGAAGTGTGAGCAATATTTATATTTCTTACAGATATTAATGGTATGCAGGAATGACACATCAATTGATTAACTCCATGTTATTCAAAATAATGACACACAAATCAGAAATAGTTATTTTAATTATTTTAATTCTTCCATAAGGACCAAAGAGGCAACATGATTTAAAAAAAAAAAAAAAAAAATCTCTGGCAATATGCAAGAAGTATCCAACTGCTAGTCCATATTCCAATAAAGCTTATCATCTTCCTGTTTCAACTAGCTAATAGCCCATTGCCTCAAGAGCATGAGTAGATACCATAATAACTCAGGAAAAAAAACTGTGATTGAGATCTCTGATTTCAGCAACAGAGGCAGGAAGAAGCATCATTTATAAGAAAGGAGATTGTAAAAATAAAGAGACAACAGAAAGCAATTAAATACATCAGGTCTCATTCATATTTATTAAAGCATGGTTAACCATAGTTAAGAATTAGTTCCTTTGCTGTGCATTAGATCTGCTATTCAGTTGGAAAGCATTTAAAATTATATATTGCCTCTGCCTGGCCTAAGTTTTTTTTTTTCACTTAAATGTACACAATATCACAAATTTAATTTTAAGCTGTTTGAATCAGTCTATAAAAAAGATTTGATTATACCTGAGTGTTCTGGCCCCAGTTTTTCCATATCTCAGTAATCTTGGCGGTAATTGGCTGATTAGGTCCCTCACACTCCATCTCTGCCTCAGTTTCCATGGTAATGTTACAGGAGCTATTATAGATGAGAACTTCATCTCTTTCCACTTTAGGGCTGAAACGAGAAGGGAGGTTAAATGGGGTGTCATCAATCTTAATGAAATGCAATTATTTTTACTCTTATTAATCATCGCAAGCCATTAGCTTGTGGCAACTCCAGACCACCATTTGTCAAACTTTGCAAATTTCTGTAATTTTGTTTCCATTCTTTTATTGTTTATTTGTTTTGCTTCCCCCCCCCACACACACACATACACCTTTATCTGCAAACCTTTCCAACAAAAAATACACATAGGAAACATTTCTTAGAGACGCTATCTTGCCAGCCTCTCAAAATGACACACATACACATTCACTTCTAGGGCAGAAAATGAAAGAGAATAGACACTGCTTGAGTCAAAGATGGAAGTAAATCCCAAGTAGCTCTTTTTTCTTACTCACACTTAATCCCGGGGAATGAATAACTTGCAACTCCCTTAGGGCAAGTGCAGAAATTGGAAAACCATATAACTGGCTAACTGGTCCCTAATTCCAACTGTGAAAAAATGAGCTCATTTAGGGTTCCAATTCCTGCTACCCAGCTGATAGCAATGATGCTTTCATGCTAGCACTGGAACATTAACTTAGTAAATTAATTAAACTTACTTAACAGCCCAGGCTAAGCAGATTCGATATATGTGCCAGTTAGTTTAGTGGGGCCCCTTTCTGTACAGTCTCTGTTCACATTAGGAAGTGGTAGATGGAGTGAGAGATACTCAAAATTATCAGGGGGAAAACAAATAAAGGGTCATTCTTAATTAGCTCTGCTTGTTGACAGCTGCCTGCTAGGGCAGTGAGCGTTTAAGATTCTAATATCTACGTCTATATACTGAACAATGATTAGTATGCGTTCCAAATGCCTTAACAAATTTCAGGTTTACTAATCCTTAAGACTGTGTGAAAGGCAGTTAGAACTTCGGTGCTGAAAGTTTGGCCTTTCCTATCATCACCGAAAACAAGCAGCACAATTCCTCATTAGACTTGCCAACTTCTTTTTACTCCTGTGACTTAAGATGTCACTATGAAAAGATGAATCCCCATCCCCACAAGCCATGTTTGTATCTGCAAAAAAAAAAAAAGAGAGAGAGAGAGAATACTTGCATGATTGCCTTCAGCAATAATTATTGTCTCAGTCATCAGAGGAGCTAATAAAACTGTTTATTAAATCACTCTGCAAGCTGGCCATAGGACTGTTATATTCTCACTTCTTTGCTACTCTTTTTAAAATCTTAACACCCCAGGAATTAGCAGGAAATGTACTAAAAATCTGGCCTGTATCCTGGCTACCCAAATTATTACAGATATCAAGACAAGACATCCTTTGCTACCTAATACAACCCATCCCTTTTTCTTTTTTACTAACACGTTAATCCCAATCAAGTTAGATATGCTTATAAACAAATTCATTGGGGGCAAGGGTGGAGTGTGTGTAGACAATTTTGGAAATTGTAGAAAAATTGCAAAAAAAGTATCAATAATAAGATTTCAGCATGGCAGAAAGCACAGACCAGAGCTTACTACACAGGAGATGCCAGGTACACCTTAATTATTGTATATCAGATTGCAATTCGAAATAGAGAAGTGTTGCACAATTGCAAGCTGAAAGGTGATAACCTTCAGTAATGTAGCCACTTCCCTAAACATCAGGCCAATGTACACCATTAAGGAACTGACACCTAGTTATTCAGGTGGGACAGTGATTTGTTGCCATGACTGCCTAGCAGTGATGGAGTATCTTGAGAATTGAAGTCCAACGTTTGAAGGGCCACTGGTTGTCTAACTCTGCCTTAAATCTACAATGAATCTGCTTGCCAACATTAGCTAGATCAATGCTTCATAGAATTGCTGATATTGCATTTTTATGCAGTAAATCAGACATGTCAAACTCGCGACGTCACGTGACGTCACGCAACGTTTCGGGGCGGTTTTGCCATTGCCGGCAATGGGGTCAGCGCAGCTTCCAGATGACGCGTCCAGCCCGTGGTCTAGCAGTTTGACACCCCTGCAGTAAATCAACATAACTGAGATAGTTTTTTTTATATATCTGTATGTCATAATCCCTAATCTTTTTCCTGCTGCAGCATTCCATAGATTTTGCTTTGGACTGGGCACTATATATTTTGAAAGAAATGTGTAAGATCCCAGCTAGAGTAAAAAAAAGCTATATCTAACCTGAGAAGGAGGCCAAAAAAATGGACATGGGATGAGTTGATAGAGGTCTTGTTAGATCTTAAAGAGGAATAAGCCAAATCATCACAAAAGAATAGGAATGGGGTGGCTGCTGTAACAACATCAGCATTGGCTTTGATTTGAATGTCACACTGGATCAGTGCTGCACCAGCTGCTTTGCAGTCTTCGCCATTCTCTTCTGCAGGATAGGTCATAGTACAGAGAACCGCTAGAGATGCTGAAAAATGGGGGTTGGGGGATGAGAGGACATCAAGAATTAGAGAAATATAGAAGGAAGTCTCCTTTTCCCAGTTCCCCTGTTGATTATTTGCAACAGCAGTGTCATTTAATTTCATGCTATGATGTTGCTGAAAGGCACAAGAAGGCCACTTCTAAAACTGTCTATCCCAATTGAACTACTGTATTTTACACACTGACCAGTCCTGGATTGAACATTAAGCAAAATAAGCACAATGCTTAGGGCATCAAAGGAGAGAACCACATTTTTTGCCCTGGGTTATCATGCCCTTAACTCTTTCACTGCCACCCTTAGTTTTCAGCAGTTATTGAGACTCGGTAAAATGTTTATTGTATTTCCAAAGTTAAAACACAAACTTCAACAGAAAAAAGGGAAATAACAACAAAGCAAAAACTATATAAGACAAAATATGCATTAAAATATATACATATATTGTCCCCCCAGCTGAATACTGATATATATATAGTATATTTTTAAAAATTACCTTTGCCAAAAAAAAAAAAGCTTTACAATTTATAAACTTCTACAGCTCTATTTGCCCAGGCAATTTGACTTACCATCTATTTACTGTTTTAAAAAAAACCAGTTAACAGGTAAATCCAACAACAAAACTAAATTTTAAAGGCCTTTGTTAACAATCTATTATTGTATTTCACACACAGAAAGTCCCCAATGGCTTCTAATCTACCATAAACCACTGCAGTCATTTTCTCTCATCTGTCCAGGATTAAATATCTTTGATTGATTCTTAATAATAAAGTTTTTCCTTAAAACTATAATTGGGATCTTTCCCAATAATTGCATTTTATTCTCCAAAATCATAGTTCTTTGTTGTGAATATCTCTGCAGCATTTGTTGTTCAGAAGTTTTTTGTGCAAGTTGAACCACAACATCTCTTAACAGTTGTCTTTTGATTGAATATAATAAATCTATATTTCACAATCTCCATCAGCTTTCTTAAGAAAGTTCAATTCATCACTGATCCATGCTGCCTATCTCTAAGTCTTTTAAATTCATGCCCCTTTCAGCCTTCTCCAAAGAGCCTGCAATTCTCAAGCAAAGCTTCTTCGCTTTCCATTCTCTCAGCAACAAATTGACTTCCAATCCACCCAATTGCAAGTCTGATTTACCTGCTGTTATCTGTATCTAAGTATCGTCCTTAGGTTGATTTATGACTGTTGTTAAATCATCAAATCTTTTATTTAAATTTTCATTCAGAGCTTGTCAGTTGAAAAGCATTTTTTTCCCAAAGGCTTCCAAGAAGACTTTGACATTAAGTTGATGAGGCTCTCACCTTTCCTTTGTATCTCTTTTTGTGGGCATTGTAAAAAGTATATAATGTATAAAGTTAATCCTTAATATACAGTTGCTTTCATTTTAATATAATCCAAATTTCTTTTATACCTGGACTTTCACAACAAAACATAGGCTGAGCTGAAAATAAATGGCTCAGGGCCCAACAGGGACAACACTTTGAGATCACTGGAATACAGAGATGATCCTGGAGTTATGCAAATATCAATATAGAGGTGATCTAAGTAAACACTGCTGTCAGTTAACTCATGATATTAATATTAAAACCTGTGATTTTGTTATGAATACCACTGTATCAGTCAAAGTTAATGTTTCATTATACTCTGTCATTATAAACCACCATGGAAATATATATACTGTATGTAAATACTGCATGTATATGTTTTTGTGTGTGTTTCTTTCCTACCCCCCAAATATCACTTTTATAAAAATAGCTCCTCCTCCCCAATCACCTTAAGAATGTAGCTGTGTCCATGGAATCTTGTATAAAGTGATAAAATAAAATAAAATAAAAAGTCAAGTTCAGACTAAAATTTGTTAGGTGTTTTTTTTTAAAAAAAAATATCCAACAATCTACAATTAATATCAATATTTTCAGAGTTAATCCAAAGATTTGCCTATATGTAATGCAGGAAAAAAAAATTAAGGTTCTGTGAAGAAAGGTTTTTCCGTGGACCGGAGGGGGTGTGGTTTCATGTACTGCCTGCATCCCACGGCTGGGGCTTCGCTTGTTTGCATGGCCCAGTTTCTGGCATGCCGTGGCTTGGTGCCGGTCCACGTACCGGGGGTTGGGGACCCCTGGTTTAGATCTTACTCTCCCCACTACTCTGCATGGCTGTGGAAGTATCTATTTAAACACAAATAAAACTATTATGGAAATGAGATAACTACAAAGCTCCCAAGACTATTGTCTTATATTATAAATGAAGGAAACTTGGCACTCCAGAGTTGTGGTGGTACAATCTCCAGGATTCCTCAGCACTGGTAACATTGATTGAGAATTTTGGATCAGCAACATCTGGAAAGTTATGGGTTCTCCAGCTGAACTCTTTTTCTTAAAAATAAATTCCACTCAACTCAGTGCAAGTTACATGTATGTGTGTATGCATACATACACCCATAGTTGCACTGTAAGTTGAACTAAAAGGAGGAACTAACTGAATGTAATTTTATATAATACCCTAACAAATGTTGACTGTGGAAAAGAGAGGGGAAAAAACTCACAACCTCTGTAAAATTCTTAAAGGACAATAGCAGCATCTTAAATCAGTTACTAAATCTGCCAATTGAAAAGGTCAATCTGGAGCTAAAGATTCTACTTCTGTTCTTTTCCGTGTCACACAGTGGAAGAAAGAAAAGACATGGAGATTTCAGTACCTTTCTTTTTGGATTTTTCAGAGTTCTACAGAAAAAAAATATCTGGAACCAACTATAAAAGGGATATATAGAACTGAAGGAATTTGATTCTAGAAATTTATTCTGAATATCTGAACTGCAAGGTGCTCATTGTCTTTATTTCCTGATTTTTCTAGGATTTTTAGCATTATCTATTGGAACGATGCCCTCCATTTTTTATCATCACTCCTTTTCTCAGCTTCTCAGCTTCCCCTTCTGAAACGATCAACTCAGATTGACCCATTTTTTTTTCTGCAATGAAGGTGATGCAAAGTATCCATTCAAGCTTTTCTATCACCTCCTATCCTTGTTAAGTGTTTCTTTCTTTCTCTTTCTCTTGATCTCTTGATCTCCTAAAATTTCTTCCTTTTTAATCTTTCTAACAATAGATTTCAGAAACCTCTTCTTATATCTCTTATTATGTCCTTAAAATTCTTCATTCTTCATAAACTTCAACAATTTTGTGTTTTAGCTGTTTTTCCCTATTTAAACAAGGCTTCCATATCCTACTTTAATGACATTAATAACCATCCTGTTATCATCTCTGATGCACTTCAGGAAGAAGGCAGCAAGGCTTCATATTCTGAGGAATAAAACTAGCCGTAGAATAACAGATGAGCTCTTCCTGACTCTTCAGGCCATTTATAACTCTGCTAGTCTGAAGCCTAGACAAAATGCTTTTTTGCTATTTGAAAAAAACAGCAAGAGGAAGATGAGATTATGTCAGCAATTGTCCTTGCCTATTAACTATTCCAGTATTACAGTGCAATAAACAGATGCCAAATTGACACAAATCTGAGACAGGATGAGCCGTTTCTTACAACATGCAGTATTGCTTATTGTATGAACAAGCATCTTTTTTCAGTCCATGGAGCCACCATCATCATGTGTCTTCTCAGAGAAATGCAGAACTCAGACCTAATCCTAGACCTCAGAATATTTTCTGTTCTTTAAAAATATTTTGATTTTCTCACTCTAGCCTTCACTGTGGGGGAAAAAGTGATGTAAGGATTTTGCCTATTCTTGACATTCTTCCTTGGGTTCATAACATAACCAATGTTGACTATTCCTCTCAGCCTGCCTTTGATTTAGCTCAGCTGGTTTATTGTAAACTAAAAACCTCAGATATTTCTTCGGTTACTCAAACTTTTATTTGCAGGCTATTTCTCAAGTTCTGTCTTCTCCTACTAGCAAAAGTAATCAGTATGTGGTTTGAAGCAACTGCACAACACATATAATAAAAATAATGAAAACTCTCAGTATAATATCAGTAATAGTAATCAATGTTCATTTACTGACATCTAATGGCAGTTTAAAATATTGCAAGAACTAACAACTACATTTCTTATGAATGAATGTAATCCAATTGGGAAATTCAATGCAATGTTTTTTGTATATTTCATAACTTAGCTGAACTCATTTTACTCTGATGCTTAGAAAATTTATTTTTGTATAGTTTAAAATGGATGTTTCCTAAATTATTTACCACAAAAAAGATATGTAAAATATCAAAACATTGTGGGAATGTTGGCAGAGAACAGTAATTCAGAAATATATTAAAAAATTGTGAGTTCACTTGTTTTATAAGAGAATGTAAACCAATAAAGGAAAAGCTGATAAGCAAAGACAGCAAAGGAAATATTTTGAAAACTTAAATTTACACTAACTTACCTTTTTTTCCCCTGAAAGTGAAGATTGTTCTTATTATTAACTCCAGATTATTTGACATGTTTATTATTTCAGTAAATTAGAGATAAAATAAACTTATAAAATATTAATTTATTGTTTATTATTAAAACAAATTGTGCTGAATGTTGACCTTACCTTATCTCATTTTAGATGTGGATGTTTTTACAAGGTTAAACTGGTTTTGTAGCACCCTTTATAAAATAAGTTTCTAAAAGACAGCAGCCTTCTGTACAATAAATTATTTCCTACTAGCACTTGAAATATTCTCTCCCCTTCTGTTTCTTTTTTTAGGAACAAATATAGTCAGCTAATTGATTATGCCTAATGTCTCTCTCTCTCTCTAGCCAATGGAGGTCTCCCTGGTTTCTTTAGATTGTATGAGAATCAGTTACTCTAGTTTGTTTCTCTCATCAGAGTACATTTATTACTCTGACTTGTCAACAGAAAAATAACAAAGCAACTTTACATATAATGATAAAGAAACATACCGATGTACAATAAACCTACAATTCTACAACTTTGGCTGCTGATTTTAACTTTTCAGGAAGAAGATATTTGTAAAGACAGATTATGGTTGCTTTAGAAAGATAGGTAGTTGCCTTATCATAATTTTGGCAGAACAGAAAAGAGTAACAACTCATGGCAAGTTCTAGGACATTTTTCATCCAGTGTGTTCAGTGTCACATTTTCTAGATTTTACAGAGAAGAGAAGAGAAGAGAAGAGAAGAGAAGAGAAGAGAAGAGAAGAGAAGAGAAGAGAAGAGAAGAGAAGAGAAGAGAAGAGAAGAGAAGAGAAGAGAAGAGAAGAGAAGAGAAGAGAAGAGAAGTTCTGACTTCCTCATGCACTTTTAAAAAAACGTGTGAACTCTTTTAAAAACCATTAAAAACATTTGCATGTTAGGGTTTTCTTTCCAAGAAACAAATTGCACAGAAAGAGGATGAAACAGGCTTAAGAGTCAATATATGAGCATGTGATGTAATAGAAATCAAGATCAGTTTATTCTAAATTATCCCCTATAAGATTTTTCATGGATATGTGCCACATTCTTTCAGGTTCATATTGAAGGACAATCCCTAATTTCTTACCAGTTTCTTTTATTATATTTAAAATGGCAGCAAGAGATTCACACTAATCTTTTGTACCCATAGCAGTTAGAAGCAGTTGGCAGCGCAGTCAACATATTTTCTTTCTCTATCAATTAACACATCTCAGTCATTCCACTGACCGTTCAAGGGCCCGGTTAAGCAGCTCAGATCAGTTGTGGTGGTCACATTCAGCATTTCACAAGGAGAACCACAAATGGAAACTGAGGTATTTCCTGGAGAAAATCCATTTCCATGTATATATAGTTCTCCTCCATCAAGATTGCCTTGAAAAAGAAATAATGTGCAAAGCATTTCACAATTTGCTATTGCTGAAATTTGTCATCCGCAGCTTCCCATAACACTTTAGAAATGCAATACTATGTTCTGGAAGACAGTCAATAATAAATAAAGACAATGAGTCTCCTTGGTTCTTTCATGAATCTTTAAGGAAAGTAATATAATATACAAATAAGACGGCATATAAGCATGAAAAGTAAAACCTTACAAGCAATTTTCATTTGTTCTTTTCTATTTATTTTCTTTTATTGTGGTCTTGGAATGGAGCAGGAGAAAATCTATTTTCTTGGTAGGGGTTGCTTTTGGAAATGTTTTTGAGCCTTTCCAAAACTCACTCAAACGAGAGGCTTAGCATGTCTACTTTCAATTTTAATTTGTATACAAATTAAGTAGGCTATCAAAAATCATTCTGTAGAAGTAGGATTTTGAGAGGTTTTGGGAGCAAAAAAAAGTAGAGGAGCTTATAGTGTTCTGAGAGTCTCTGATTACCCATCCCTGTTTTATCACTCCAGACAACACAACACATAAATTCTAAGATGGATAGCAACAAATTTAAACTCTAGCATACAAGGTGATTATTAATAACCTGTTAGATTCCCACTACTATCTTTTAATGTGATCTACTTAACACCTTGTAATACCCTTCATTTGACAATTAACACATGGTCTTGCTGGCCATCTATTTTCATGAAGTATGTCTCCAAACGTAGAATGACTAAAGAAAGTCAATATAAGGTGGTAAAAGTCAGCTATGATACTTGGACTTTGTCTCAAAGCTACTAATGGGATTTTGGAACTAAGGTGGTGAAGCATTTCTGCTATTAAAAAATGTGATATCACAAGTGTTTTCTGAACATCAAACAAAAAAGGTTGTTATGTTTTGTGGCAGGATAACAGATTGTCATAAGGTTCTACATTTAGGCAAGAAAAACCAAATGTACAGGTATAGTATAGGGGGTACCTTGCTCAATAGTAGTAATTGTGAGAGGATCTCGGAGTCCTAGTGGACAATCACTTAAATATGAGCCAGCAGTGTGCTGCAGCTGCCAAAAAAGCCAACACAGTGCTGGGCTGCATTAACAGAGGGATAGAATCAAGATCACGTGAAGTATTAATACCACTTTACAATGCCTTAGTAAGGCCACACTTGAAATACTGCATCCAGTTTTGGTCACCACGATGNACGAAGAGAAGGACGAGGGGGGACATGATAGCAGTGTTCCAATATCTCAGGGGCTGCCACAAAGAAGAGGGAGTCAAGCTATTCTCCAAGGCGCCTGAAGGCAGGACGAGAAGCAACGGATGGAAACTGATCAAGGAGAGAAGCAACTTAGAACTAAGGAGAAACTTCCTGACAGTTAGAACAATTAACCAATGGAACAGCCTGCCTCCATAAGCGGTGAATGCTCCAACACTGGAAGTTTTTAAGAAGAGACTGGACAGCCATTTGTCTGAAATGGTGTAGGGTTTCCTGCCTGAGCAGGGGGTTGGATTCGATGACCTCCAAGGTCCCTTCCAACTTTATTATTATTATTATTATTATTATTATTATTATTATTATTATTATTATTATTATTATTATTATTATTATTATTATTATTATTATAAAATATAAGCATGATGTATGTGATAAAAGAAAACAATCTATGACTAGCAAGAAAAACCATATGTTTATCACTTTGAGGAAAAATTCTAATCTAGAAGAAATAGCAAGTTATTTCACAAAAACAACAAGACTCCAGTCCAATATAATTCTGAAATTTTAAGTTTGCTGCTATAGCTCCCCAGGTCTGCTTCTCAGATCAATTCAATGAGATTACAGACTTCTGCTCCCCAGAAGCATCCACATACTTACCATGGCTGTTTTCCATTGTGATAACTGTCAGGACTGAAGTGAATACCAAACTTGAGGAAGCCCAACCTCTCTGCACAATTCCACCGGTCACATTATGTTTTCCAGTGGGAAGCTGAGGAAGCACACATTGCAAACTGGTACCATTGCTAGTAACATTGGTGCAGGAAGAGCCTCCAACAAAAACATACATGTCTTCCGTTTGCCTAACTTTTGAAACCATTATTGTCAGAAACTGGCCTGTGGAAGGCAGAAGGGAGAGGAAAACTGGGGTGAATTCTTCACTGTAGCTTATTTCCCCAGCAGGATATGACATATTGTCTATGTCGAGTCCCACAATTGCAGTCCCTTTGCCTGAAGGCACAAGGCACTTAAGGGCCCAATATGTGACTTTGGTGAGGAGACACTTCTGATTTCCTATGAGAACTGTAGTGCTGCTCCTGCCTTGAAGTGCTGCACCTTCTAAGGTGAGGAGGCCTCTGCCATTGACACTGAAATTCTGGGGATAAAGATGGAGCACCTCAGGAGTAACTCTGAAAATATTGGAGTCTTTCTGTCTCAAGCAGGCTGCACCCCAGCCTCTGCTCAATATTGAAATGCTATGTTCTTTTGCATCAAGGCTGTGCATCTGACATTCAATACTGGTTTTGTTCAAAGAAGTTATATTGCAAGGGAGATGTCCATCTACCTCTATAAGGATTTCATCCACTGACCAAACTAATTTCTGAATTCTGATTAACAAGTAAATGAAGATCCCAGCAAACCTCACAGTGACAGCATCAATAATAAGAGTGTTGTTTGCAAGAAGATGGAACGAGCAGTCGCCTAGGCAACGGCCATACATTCCATTGACTTTCACTGTGATATTAAGAGCTTGGTGTACATCAGGAAACTGCTGATCATCCAAAAGAGGATCACTTGAAAAAAGTGCACAGATTATACTGTCTTCACTTGAGCTCTGGACCTCACAAGACAAGTTGCCTGTCAGATTTACCCAAGTAGAATTTGTCCAAGATTTGAGAAAATGGCCAGATATTGTGAGAAGCTGCCCACCACACACTGAGCCACGAGATGGAAAGATAGTCTTTATCTGTGGGTATACTGTAAAATGCTGCATCTCAGCTGGTATGTTGGCAAAGCCCATTTGCTTCTGGAGAACACTCATAACATAGTGCCCTGGTTCTAGAACACTTAGAGGTAAGGAACATTGAGACCAAGTTATAGAGTGGTTGATCTTCTGTACCTCAAGTTGACATTCCGCCTGTGCCAGGATAGCCACTGAATTTGTTACATTGACTCCTTTTATGCCTAGGCGCAGACTATTGTTCAATAATTCTATTTCAATGTTCATGATATTTGGAGTTAAAGACATGTTGTAAAGAAAAGTGTAATTCTTGAAGATTTTCATTTGAAATGGGTCTACCAATGACCGGTTGCCTATGTACACCTCTATATCTGCCAAAAGAGTTTTGAGAATGGTATTAGATGGCTGAGTGGGTGGTGGAGTCCGACATAGAATTTTATCTTCAGTTAGACTGATTATAGTACAGGGTTGAAAATCAATCAGGACTAAGACCAAGGCTGGGCTGTAGCTAAAACCTATTCCAGAAATGGTGAGCAATGTTCCACCTAGGAAACAGATAAAAATGTTAGTGAATATTAACTTTTTTCAAAATTAATATAATTTGAAAAATTATATTTCTATTGTATTAATATTTAATACAGAATAGGATGTCCAATAAGGCAACACAGAAGCTTGGGATGTTAATTGTTTCAGGGTTTTGTTTTTTCCAGTATTTAAAATTCTTTATTTGTTTTATTGGTGTTTCTGTATTTTAAATTCTATATTTGTGGTTTATTGTTCTGAGACTTTGTCAATTTACTACAATACACTGATATAAATAAGTTATAAACAAAACCTTAATATAAAGAGCAGTGGTGGTGCAGTGATTAGAATGCAGTATTGCAGTCTGACTCTGCCCACTGCCAGGGGTTCAATCCTGAATGGCTCAAGGCTGACTCAGGCTTCCATCCTTCTGAGGTCAGTAAAATGAAGACCCAGATTGTTGGGGGCAATTATGCTGACTCTGTAAACTGCTTAGAGAGGGCTGTAAAGCACTGTGAAGCGGTATATAAATCTAAGTGCTATTGCTATAAAGAATAAAATCAAGTTCAACCAATTTCACTAATTATATGGTAATGTGAAATAGATTGGGTCTCAGGTCCTTCACCCTTTGGTGCCTTATTTATTTGCTGGGTAACCCAAATTCTCCCTAATAACCCATAGACAATTTGCCCACAACCAACTGAGGGGGGGGGGAATCAGCACTTATACCAAATAAGCTACTAGGCCCAGCCTATGCATTACTGCTCTGAGTGGAAAAGGTTAAGGGTAGAAATTACACAGCCTTGGAAAGTATTTCTTTCCTCTATCCTGACATTAGGTGTAGGATGCATCTCTTTGCTTTCCTTGCACCTAAGAGAGATGGAAGCCATTTACTCTTTAGGGAAAGCCAGAAAAACTATTTTGTTTTCTGGACATAAGATTTAATTCCATCCTCCATTCCTATTAGTTTTGCTAAAATAATTAGTCCCCATGAACTCACTAATGGTAATGTCAGAAAGGGTGGGAAAGAGGAAAAATTGGAAGCAAAACTGGAAAATGGGAGTTGAGGATAGGAAACCATATTCTAAAAAATTAATTACAAAATAGGAACCAAATGGTCTGGCTTAAGATTTTTCAGTGCAAAGGTGATATATTCTATTCATCCCTTAGGTAGTTGGAGGGATTGGAAAAAACAGACTGGATACAAATGTAAGTATTGGACCATTTGATCTCTCTCATAAAATAGACTGCAGGCATCATCCATTAAATGTGATCTGCTCAACATGTATTCATATTTTCCAGAGTCTCTTCTCAGTCATTCCAAGTCTTTTCTTAAATACGTACAAAGCAATGATTTTATTTACCTAGGAAGGAGCCACAACATGGTTCTATTCTGAAGATCTCTGTAACATACTGGATTAATGGCTCCAGTCTGGAAAATAAATAAAAATTTTACTGTCAAGTGAACATGGTTTTGTTTTTTGTTTTTTCCACCAACTGCAAAGAGTTTTAATTCCATCCTTAATTAACTCAAATGTCACTTGCCTCAATGGAAATGGCAGATGTAATTTGCAAGACATTCAGTTTTGGGTTTGGTCATGATGCTGTAGGTACAGAATGCGTATATTCTTGAACATACACCAAAAGTCCTACCTACCCCTCTGCTCAATTGCATGTGATCCCCAGCTGACTGGAAGAAATCTATTTTCCTTCCAGCTTCTCAAGCTAGCCTACCAGAAGATCTTAGGTGCACTGTTTTCAAAGAATAGAATAGAATAGAATAGAATAGAATAGAATAGAATAGAATAGAATAGAATAGAATAGAATAGAATAACTTTATTGTCATTTTGAATGTACACTAATCAGCATACATCAAAATGATTTTTTTTGGCATACAGCTCCCATATACCTCCAATATACACTACATAAATATGACAAAAATAAATAAATAAATAAATACAGAATTATGCATATATCCACATATATTATATGACACAGAGAAACAACACAGTCTAATTCGGATGTATACATGTGCATGATGAGAAAAACGAATCTTACAAGTTTACCATATGGATGGCATAGGGATACATTTACTTCTCCATTTTTTTTAAAAGGAGAGCAACATCCTACTGTGTGCAGTTTTCAGAAGGGCAAATAAATGAAACTGCAAATACAATATTGAACATTTCATAATAATCTAATCAAGAGAACGTTATTTATAGAACTTTTGGTGTTGCCCAAGATAATCACAGATCCATCTTGTCAACACATGCTGACAGATAGGCATCTGGTTCCATTCTTGCTTATCTCATTATTTCTTTTAAAATTCTATTATGGTGCAAATTTTATCCATGAAAAATCAGAGCCTCTTACCCACTCGTGTTGAGTGGAAGATGATGAAGGAATATTGAAAGTCTGTGCAATCCTTCTGCAAGAGAAGGCAGCAATAAACTGATTCCATGATCTGCTACTGTTTGAATTTGAACTGCAGTGTCCCCAATTTTGACCTTCACATCAAATGGAGTATAATTGGAAAATGAAGAAATACCTATCGCAAGCAGCTGACCTCCTGCAATGAAGAAAAAAAAGTAGACAATACTTTTTTGTTATAGCTAGTGACACAAACCCAGATGTCCATATCTTGTTTTATTTCCACATTGAAAGGTTGACAATATGTTCATGTTTTAAAACTTTGCCTGAAATAAAACTGTCTTCAGAGAAACCCATTTGGTTCTGCTTATTATCTCCAAAAATGCAGTTCTGTAAGACAAGGGGAAGGTGATAAGAAGGACATTGAAGCAAAAACTATCTGACAATTTAGCCTCAACACCTGGCAGTCAAATGCAAGTGCTCTTGATAAAAAATCCTGCAACAAATCTCAGTGGCTGTTATGTCTCAATTCTTTCATTCTACCAATATGCAAGTTATACATTGCACTCGGAAAGTATTCAAGGATAATACGGGATTTTCTTTACATTGACAGTCATCACTCCTGTTTGCACTTGCAGTCTTGACAGGTATAATTGGATATTAGATAGCCTCCTGGATCTCTCAACCTTTTTCATTCAATGATGTGCCTAAGCAAATCTGCCAATTGGAAACATGACTAACAGCTGGGAATGTACTAAGCAAGCAGAATTTTTTTTGCCTAGGTTTAGTTGAAAGGAAAATGCTGAAAAGGGTGCATTTGAGATATTAATGAGAGAATCCTTATGGGTATCCTGCCCACCCAACATGATACCTAGTGAATAGAATAGTTGTGATTTTTTTTTATTCTGAAGCACTACATTTTAACTACTTTATTGCCTAAATATGCAAAACACTTTCAAATGATACACTGAAAGATATAAATATTGGAAAAATCAAATAAGAATAGAAGGAAAGAACAAAAAACTTTTCTTTCCCTTTTACCTGTTATGCCACTTTTATTTCTGTTCATTGACACAATGCACGGATTTAGAGAAGAGTCATATGTAAAAGCATTGGCAAAGACAGTGGATTCATGTTCATTGATTACGGTTAGATGAACAGTAGCCTCTCCTCCTCTCTAGGGGAAAAAAGAATGACAAAAGATTGATAACATGTCTGTTGTCCATAAAGTAAACTGAGCACCAAGATTATGTGGTGAAAGCCCAGAATTAAAAAAAAATCTTCTAGATCTTATTCTAAGATTTTGAAATCAATCTTCCACCTGTTTCTGCTTCTTAGAGCTGCTATCCAAGGCACTCTGACATTGCCAACATTCTACTCTCAAAAACAGTTTGTGGCCAACCTTAGCTCTCCTTCTTTCAGGGCATAAAAAACAATAGTGAGTCAGGTCTTACTACCACCTGCCTAATAGGAAAGATTAGGTACATGCAAACACCAAAGCAGGGGTGTCCAACCTTGGCAACCTTTAAGACTTTACATTTGGCTGGCTAGGGAATTCTTGGAGATAATGCCCACCAGTCTTAAAGTTGCCAAGGTTAACACCATTGAAGGCAGCCCAGGTGCTAGCTTGGAGGACACTGGCAGAGGGGATGCTGGGCTCCCTTTTTCCTATTCCTTGCTCTGTGCCTTCAAGGAATAGAAGCTGGGCCAGAGAGGGAGTGAGAAGCCACTAGTGCTGCTGTACCATCTTGTTCTCCACTGCTACCCCCAACTAACCTCCCCCGCCATCTTCCATTTCTACTTTTCATTATTTGGAAAACAAGAGACTGGACTAGACCACATAAAAGGAGCCCTGATGGCTTCCTCTGTTCTGTTCTCCCAAGGATTAAGTCTGCTGCAGTGATGGGGAAGAAGTAGCTCAGGGAGTCATCTCTTCTCTTTCTTCCATCTCCTTTCAATTGCTGCAGTCTGGGAAAGACTTGGGGCCTGCTCTTTCACCAATAGTTCCTTTGGGGTTCAAAGGGCTCTGCTTATGCCCTGGGAGTGTTCAAAGAATAGCATCCTATCATTGGCTCCTCCCATCCATTCAGACAGACCTAGTACTCAATCTGGAAGTCCTCCTGGACTTGTAAATCCAGTGTGAAGAGCAGGTAGCAACCATGGCTCAGAGGGCCTTTGCATACTTCTGAATAAACAAATCCATTTGTTTATTCATTGATTTATTAAATTTGTAGGGTTGCCCATCTGATCGAATTGACCTTGAAGTCGGGCCTCTGCTCACAGTCACTCATGCCCTTCTGAACTGTCATCTGGAATACTACAATGCATTCAACATGGAACTTCCCTTGAAGAACATTTGGAAATTTTCAGCTGGTGTAGAATGCAGCAGCATGGGTAGTTGATTATTTGATGCATATAAAGCCACTACTTTATGAGCTGTGCTGGTTGCCAGTGTGCTTTTAGGTTCAATTCAAGGTTCTAGTTGGTACTTTTAAAGCCTTGCATGCCTTGGAGCCTCATTACTCATGGGACCATCTCTTCCCAGTTGTTTCTATTTAACCATTCTGGTCTGGCAAGATGGGAAAGTTATGCTATTGGCTAATGTATTCAGTGCAGCAAGGCCCAGAATATAAGCCTTTTCTATCACAGTGCCCACCATTATGCTTCCTCCAAAGATCAGATTGACGCATCCTTGTTGGCCTTTCATAAGGCCTAAAGACCTGCTCCTGTGGTTGGGCCATGCTCCAGATGCATGAAGGATCTGTATTTTTTGGCTATGTGGGTGAGAATTTGTTTTCTCAGCTGCTGTATAATCTAATTTTTGTATAAATATTTGTGTTATTTTTTTTTATTCTGTTCTGCCACCCAGAGTCATTGTTGAGATGGGGAGATATATAAATTGATTGAATAAATAAATGACAACTAAATTAGAAATAAATCAGCTCAACACTGCTGCTCAACACTCATAGCATGAGATTACAGAGGTCCAGAACAGGTTTTGGAACATTATAAAGCCCTCAGTGGAAGTTCAGTTAGTCTGTATGCTTGTCTATAACTGCATAAGAGAGAATTTGGAGCTTCCAAATAAGAGTGGAAATTTTATTACAGCCATGGACTAATTAAAATAGTACTGAAGGAAATATGTGACAACATGCTGAAATTGACAACTTCACATATTCAATTCTCACAATGTTTGTATCCCGACATTAGCAGTTTGTATTCTATACTGCACCTTTGTAGAATAATATTCAATATAACATGAAGGGAACTCTATGCAGCCTTGTCTGTTCCAATTACAATTAATTAAACATATCCTAATTTTTTTCAGGTTACTGATCAATGAGTTATATCAGGCAATTTTATTTATAATGAGGCAGGTATTAGCTGTGCCATTATACCCTTTATTTTTTTTTATCTCTAATTACAGCACCATGTGCAACAATGAACAAGAACACATATAGACAAATAAACAATTCAAGTAAACCTACATGTAACTAATTTTATATTCTCATAAGGAAAAATAATAATTCCAAAAAGATAAACAAAACACACATTTTCTCTCTCTCACACCCACATGATTTTATATTCATCAAATCACCACAAATGAGTCTGAATGGTTATTGCCTTGCAATATAATTGAAGGTGTTATTTACCCTGGGAGGAAGCCTGCATTCCATTTTCACTGCATTGCTGGCATTGAAATTGATAGGACAAGATTGAGAACTAAAGAGTACTGTGTTTATCCCATCTAAGCCTGAACCTGATAGAATCACTGTAAGTCCTCCTGAAAATGTACAAGGAAGGAAGGAAATAATTAAAAAACTATAGTATGTACAAACAAATATAATCCACAACCATAAAAAGAGCACAAAACAAATATGTTACAAACACAAAGAGATTTATCTTGTTTTTCTTTCACAGTCTTATATATATCTGAGAACCACAACTGTAATTTCCTAGAAAGAATAGCAAACAAAGAGTCCTAGCATTTCAATGCATTTGCTCATCTTTCAACTCACACCGGCATACATATATATATATATGTAAATGTGCTTATCGAAAATAAGTATGATTCAGACATACCTATCTCCGAAGCTGTTAAAGGTTGAACAGAAGTCAATCTAGGTGTAATCTTCAGGAAGATACTATTTTCTCCACTGGCATTGACTGCAAATCCAAAGGATCTTACCAATAATGTCACTTTATACAATCCAACTGGTAATACATTCATCTGACAAAAGACATTAGTATGGTTTGAACTTAGGATTTTGCAAGTTAGGTTGTTTGCTTCTATGAGCAATGATTGATGGTCTGCAGTGAAGCCAGATCCTGTAATGTGAACTATTATGTGTTCAGTATCATCTGAAAATTCAAAGAAAATAACATATTACGGTAATTTATTGCATATTCCTTCAAGTTATGCCAATATAATACATATAGATATTACGTTACATTAAAATTAACATAAAATACAATACAGTAATATAGCGATAGTGCTTAAGTTTATATACAGTCCCATAGTGCTTTACAGCCCTCTCTGAGTGGTTTACAGAGTCAGCCTATTGCCCCCAACAATCTGGACTCTCATTTTACAGACCTCAGAAGGATAGAAGGTTGAGTCAACCGTAAGCCAGTCAGGATTGAACTCCAGGCTGGGGAGAGTTAGCCAGCAATACTGCATTGAACCTCTGTGTCACCAGGGTTCCAGTAATATCCTCCTATACTTAACAAGCTGCCTCACAAAAGTTTGCTAGTTGTCATATAATTTTGGAGTTTTCATCTCCAAACAAATGGCTTACAAGAAAAAATCATGAGCACCTGAACTATAGACGTCAGAATTACAGTCTCTGAAAGAAGAGAGAAAAGCCATAGGCTGATATTTCTACCATACCTGTTTTACATGAACAAAGTCTTTAACTGGGATGAGTGTTCTTATTTCTCTCTCAGGAAATTTCTCCCTCAGGAATTGTTGCAAAATATTAAAAGCATGCAATGAAACAATCTGTAGTACGTCATGGCAATGAACTGTTTGAGATGTTATAACCACTGCGCTTGCAGATTCTAAGTTGATCTTGCATATTTGTATTAGTTTTAGTGTTTTAATGTCTTCCTTGGTTGGTCATAACCTTATTCTCCAAAAGCATCTTGGGAGAAAGGTCGTTTTGCAGGTCATTTCCTTGATCCAAAATAGTATCTGTATTTATTGTTACTTGCAGATCCAAGGGAAGTTGTTAGGTTATTAATGACCTAACTCAGTTCTGGTCTCTGGCATAGGACTAGTAGCCATAAAGTTTCATAGCTGATTAAATGGACTGTAATCCACCAAAGCTATCATAGTAATAAATGTTTTAATAAGTGAGATGTGACAAGATTCTATTGTTTTATTTGTAACAGATTTAAGGTATTCTCTGCAAATGCCTAGAATCAGGCTGGCATAGTTTAACTGCTCTCTTGACTCTTCCTTTGTTCTTAACATCTACTGATGTCTGTACAACCAGAACTAGTGGCAGGGTCATTTCATGGCTGAGCCCAAGTCCCTATAACCACCTTTTCAGGAAAGCCTTTTCACTTCCTTGCATCCAGCTCCTCCAGTTTGGTAAAGACCTTCATTTTGAAGACGGCCTTTAGTTGATGAATCTGCTGTGGTTCTTATCAAACTTTGCTAACTTAAATATTTGTATTGACCCTGAAGTAGTCTTCTGCTATATTATTTTATATTTTACATTGTTTTACATTGCTACATATTATGTTATATAGTTTTATATTTTTATATTTCTGCCTTCAATGAGCCATCATTTGCTTAGAATCATAGTGGACAGGCAAGCTCCCCCCAAAAAACCCAAGATTTGTGAGTTTGTTGAGCCCCATGAAAAAGTTTTTTGTCCCCATTCATTGAGGTCATCTTCAATCATGTTTCTCAACTAGTGGTTTGGCCAGTGACTGGATATATTAATTTCCTAAAGACCAGCAAGGTTCAGACTTTATCATTCAGTCATTAGTTCCATGAAAAAGTTAGAAATCCATTGTGCTACTTCTTCACTTTCCCCCTGAAACCAAAAAAATTCTTATAAACCTTCATGATAATATTAGTATATCCATTTGAAGAAGCATTACCTGTTGAATAGTCAATGCTATTGACTAAAGGGGTCATTTCCCTGAGATACTGAAAAGTGCATGAGCCAGAACAATTTGCTGGAATGTCATTCACTGTAACTACAACCTGGATTGACAGAAAATAGTATTAATAAAATAATGAATAAAACAACTGAGACCCACTGAACATTTCAGAATATTAAGAATAATTAAAACCCAAACAATGATTTTAAAATTTGTAATACAAGTAAAAAGTTTTGACTCTGAACTAAAAAAAAAGTTAGTAAAAAAGAAAAGTATTCAATATAGAACACAACCATGAGCAAAATCTAGTACAGAATCCCAAAGTGATGTAGGAAAGGAAGATTTTGACAAAACTAAGGGGTGGCCTGTCTGAAATGAACGAGTCAAATGTTTTCAAGGGCCTTCTGAGTCTTCCAATATGTCACGAGCCCATGGGCCTTCTTTCAATGTAGCAACCCTCACAGGCTTTTTTTATCTTGTGAACATTTCAAACCAGGGCTTGCATTAAACAGGTTCTAGGATTGTAGCTGTTTCTGTTGCAAGCTTTATTATATACAACCTGACCTAGATTGGGACTAAAGCATAAAGGGGAGAAGAGTATAATTCACAGAGGTTTCCCTCAAGACCTGATAGACCTTTGAATAAAAGGAAGACAGAGGCAATCGAGGTCAAATCTGTAACATTTGGGCTAAATATCTTTTTTCCCTTTTTTTGGGAGAGGGGTCCTGGATTTGCAAACTTTATCTTACCTCTAAAGAGTTTGATAGAGATGGATAGAAAAATCTAACTTGAACTGGCATAGAAAGAAACTAATTTTGACTAACTTCTTAGTACATACATTCTTTTAAGATTTCATTACCACCCACTACCACCATTTTTCAAATAAACCATATAAATAATCAGGTAATTTCCTTTCCAATACAGGGCCAAATGATTTCTGTAAATTACCACCACCAATTTAAGGACATATGTAGCTCTTTTTTGACCAAACTAGTTTCTCCAAGTTTAGGTGAGATTTTGTTGACTTTCTCGCAAAATTACTGAATTTTGTAATTTAGTTGGATCAAAAAGAGAAGAATCCAGATGGAGAAAACATAAAATTCAAATAGTGAGGTAAATTAACCACAGCGTTGCTATAATAACTATTTTTAAAATAGATAGATCACAAATTATCTCAATGACAGCAAAAAGAAAATAAAAGTGTTCAATCCATTAAATTATACGAATAAACAGGTCTCATCTATGACTCTCTAAATCAATCTTTCATCTCATTGGAGCTCTTTCCAGCAGATGGCAATTGCTCTGATTTCTGGCATTTGACCTCTACATCATCTGGAGAGCACCCAGTTGAGACAGTGTTCTACAGACAAATAACCACTGGAGAATAGCATAATAATCAAACTTTTATTTAAATTGATGTACTGTCATTGTTTAGTATCTATTTTGTTCCTGTTTGTACTTCACATGGATTATTTCAGGAGGAACAGTAAGATAAAAATATAAACATCATCATCTTCTTCCTCAAGCATTTGGGATTTGTGGGAATTTGCAATTGCCTGAATGTGGGAATCTGTTATTTGCTGTATCCTTTTCTTCATTACATTGAAGTGACTGGAGTGAAATGAAGATCCTTTCCCTTCATCCCATATTCTTATAATGAAACAGGTAGGAAAAGGTTTTTTTATCCTTCCTGCATACATGTACATATAAATTGCTTTCAAGAAGATATGTTAGTTTCATACCTGTGTAAAGTTATTGGGGGTAGCAAGCATATCTCCAAATATGGGATCAATGAAAATGCCACCATCAATTACGACATAGCTTATTATTGCTGGGATAAGACCAGTGAGGTTTTCATCAGAGACCTTGGAAGAAAGAATTAAATAAAATTGCTTCGCATTCTCTTATTTCAGTAACATAATAGTGTTTATAATTTCTTAGAATGTTTATTTTTAATATTTATAATTTCTTTTCATGCAGGAATCACCTGGTATCTGATTCTGGCTATTTGCTATTGCAGACTAAATTACTTATTAATTAATTTATTAGTATAAGCATATGGCACCTATGTGTTAATTTCTTATTTTTTCATTGGATATTGTATCTATGGTGTTTTTTTAATCTTTCACAATAAATTCAATCACTCCTCCTCCCAAAAAGTCAAAATACCAGGGAAGTATATAATAAAAATACCAGGAAAGAAGAGTAGTGCACAGTAAATAATTTTTCTTTTTAAATTTCCTCTCCTATCACAGGAGAAACCATGTCCCTCATTGTTGCTAGGATAATATAGTCATGTTTATGAAGATGCCAGGTTTCAAAGTGAACTAGAGACAGTCTTCATTTGATTTTCCAAGCCTACCTACTTTGTGATTCCACACAACTATCTCCAAATCTAGCTACATTGTTGTTGTCTTCTCCTTAAAAAACGTTTTTGTATTCTTTGGATATAATAGTAATTTTACAACTGCTACTATCTTCCATACTTAATTTACAAACAATATTTTACCAGACAAAAACAAAGGTAACCTCATATCAAGCTCAGTTCTTAGTGATTTCATGGACACAAACATGCAGCAGTATGACTATGGTTTGCCATTGAGATTTTGATATCCCAGCCTAGTTTATATATCTAGAATGCTGTGGAGGTCTCCTATCCAAGTACTACCCAGACTTGACCCTACTTAGCTTCTGAGCCCAGGTGCTGCCACCTGCTAAGACAATATTGTAGAATTTACTGTATATACAGTATTTCATTTAACATTTTATGCCATACCAATCTACTCCAACCAAGTGCCTTCCATTTATGCTGGTACTGCAACTACCAGAATTCCCAGGTTTGGCAACCACAATGTAGGAATTGAGAGGCACTACTGTACATCATTCCAAAACATATTGCTAGTAAAATATTACTAGTATTAATTATAATGCAAACACTTAATTACTTTACCTTATGCATTATAGTACATTGCACTGTATATGGAAAATAATTATTTGCAACATATTCCCAAACAGATTACATTACAGATGAAAATATCACAACTATACATCCATATGCTTATTTCCCACCTACTTGGTAGTTTTCCTTATGGTTAAATACAGCAAGACTGAAGAACAACCTCACTGAAGATTAATATATCTTACAATGTGAATTTCCCCATGGCAAAAACAATTCCCGGAGTTTTGTAGGTACATTCATGAAAGGTTACTTGTTATAGGAGAGAGATTGGCCAAGCCAGGAGGAGGAATCAAATGGGGACTAAGTCTGGAACTCCTACATGGGCATAAGGCAAAGTGCAACCCCCACCCCCATCCCTGAATGTCCTGTTGAACCTTATCTAGTCTTACTCATGTGCAAAACTGCCAACCTGAAAAGATTCCTTTAAATAGAATTGAGCTATAATATAGCTATTGCTATACATGCTTTACATGTGAATCTGGTTAATCATGCTTGACACATTACATTGCTAAAAAATATCCTGATTGCTGTTCTAGGAAGGAAGGAAGGAAGGAAGGAAGGAAGGAAGGAAAGAAGGAAAGAAGGAAAGAAGGAAAGAAGGAAAGAAGGAAAGAAGGAAAGAAGGAAAGAAGGAAGGAAAGAAAAGATGTGGATATGTGCATATCTAGAGTTTTGATCCTTCACCCAGAGCCATTCAATTATTTGACGCAGTTCTTTCCCAGACTATTGAACTCTGACCTCTCTGCTTGACAGGAACATCACTTTGGTAGGCACATGAGGAAATGAAATGGCCACCTTTCTGCATCCAACAGACTTCCAGTTTTTAGGAAAAATGTGATGATATTGAAACATGGATATACTGTATCTATACTACATATAGCTATATCCTCCAATTTTTTTGAAGATCATCTTTCCCATCTGTTGTTATTTGATCTTTATTCTTTAGATGTATTTCCAACATTTTCTTCAGGAGCTCATGGTGATACTTATAACTCTTCCATCTTATCTTCACATCAATTAATCTATAATATAGTTTGAGATATGACAGACTCAGAAATATTCATGGATGAGTTGGTGTCAAACCATTTAGTCTAATGAAAGCAGTGATACACTGTCTGCTTCTTTTATACCTGCACTGTGACAACACATCAATGTTCAAAAGGAGGATAGCATATTGTGTGATGTACAGCACTGCCATTTTTTAAAAAATAATATCAGCCAGAGCTAAGGATATACATGGACTGACTACAAATCATCCAATGAGCTTCCATAACTGAAAGTGGAATTGAACTGTATTCCCTTACCTAGTCTTAATCTTAAACCTTAACCATTATACTAAATTATTACCTACTTTACATCAAGATACTATGTGCCCAAGCTCACAGCAATTAAAATATAAAATACAAAGTAAAAATCAAGTTATATTCAGTTATGTAATTCAACCAGGTTTTGTGGCTTATTATTAATATATAGTTTAGAACAGAGCTTTTCAACCTTTTCACCCATTGTACCACTTTTAGGATATGGCAACATCCGAGTACCACCAGTCGCCTAGCAAAGTGTCAAAAACTTGATGACCAAAAAAAGAAAAGAAAAAAAGTGATAAAGTACAGGTAGTCCTCGATTTACAACAGTTCGCTTAGTGACTGTTTGAAGTTACAATGGCACTGAAAAAAGTGCCCCCCAAGCCACAGCCGAGCAAGACATCTGCCTGCCCGCCCAGCCGCGCTCTTCCTCCTGTGAGAGGTTTTCATTGTTGTGAGCATTTCTGTTGAGGATTGGCAACGGGGGTGGAGGGTGTTTGGTTTTTATTCCCCCGTCTGCTGGGTGGTTGCAGCAGGTTTTGGTTACTTCACATGACCCTGGGACACTGTGACAGTCATAAATATGAATCAGTTGCCAAGCATCTGAATATAAATCACAAGACTCTGGAGATGCTGCAACATTCCAGCTGATCGGCGCTTCTTCTGGGCTCAGCAGAAGGGCTAGGATCAGTGCTGCTTTCCAGCTGATTGGTGCTTCTTCAGGGCTCAGCAGAAGCACCAGATCAGCGGCAAGCTCCAGCTGGAGACTGGCGCTGATCCTGGCGCTTCTGCTGAGCCCTGACAGCCCTGCAGCTCCAGCCATCTCTCGCTCAGGCTTGTGCAGTGCTACCACTGGTTCAGCTCATTCCCCTCCCCTGCTACTATTTTTCTAGGATGGTTGCGTACCACCTGCCAGGTACCAATGTACCACAGGTGGTACCCGTACCACTGGTTGAAAACCCCTGTGTTAGAGCTCATCGGGCAGTTCCAGACAAAGAAAATAGCAAAATTGAAAGGATTGAGAACAATGATAAATAAACCGCCAAGGAAAGCAAGAAATACTCAGGGCTAGACCGCATCTGTGAGAAGAAATTGTGTAAACAACTGGTCTTACCCTGATGAAATTGGGCAAATCACCGATCATTGAAGTCCATGTCAGTGTCCATATACTTTGATAAGAGTTTTGTGAAATCTTAGATACAAAAAAGTCACTGGTGTTTATGTACTGAGCTGTAAAATTATCACTGTAATTTTGCAGAAGGCTGCGGAGGTGACTGGCAGAGATGGACACTGGGATACCTGGAAGAAAATGGAAAAATAATAAAATAAGTAAAGATGCAGATTAAAGCCTGGTTTTAATCTCCGGGCTGAACAGTGATATCTAATATGATACAAATGACATGAGTGACCTATAGTATTTGGGGTCATTTACACAAAGAAATGATATATGTGATATGTGATGTCATCATGGGTTCCATGACCAATTCTAATTATCATGACTAATTGTAAATTTCAAGAAGTAATCATGGCCCCTTACCACATGCATTGGCAAAATGTTGATGATAAGGCTAGATTCAAAGTTTTGGTTTTGTCTGGCTTAACATGCTTAAAATAATTAAAACAATCTGGCACTGTAGATTCTATGGTTTGCTTTTGAAAATCATCAGTGAATCCCTTAGCAAGATTGTGATTCACTGTCAAATATTGGTAATAAGATTTCACAGAGTAAGAAAAAAATGAGTTTAGTGATTTTTCAGTTGGCCAATCCTACCTTAAATCATATCCACACTAGCAGATTGCCCCATTAGGACTATAGGCTATCATCATCATCATCATCATCATCATCATCATCATCATCATCATCATCATCATCATCATCATCATTATTATTATTATTATTTCTCTGCATTACTTACCTTTCCCATGGACTACTGCCTCATTTCCTTGTTTTTCCAGATACCCCATCTCCCAATAGTTAACATGAATAAATACAGACCATTCAATGACAGGGAAAAAGTTAGAGGTTTCTATATCTATTTGTGTCATCTGGTAATTATCCAGATGTTTGAAGTCCAGAGTGATTGCCCTAAGATGTGATTCAAGAATTATAATATTAAAGTATGTGAATTTTAACTTGTTTCGTTGGTGCTATATTTGTTCTATGATTAAACATTTTAATCAGCAGTGCTTTAGAACATGGGTGTTCAAGCTTTTGGCTTGCCTGGACTGCACTGACTGAAGAGGAATTGTCTTGGGCCACATATAAAATATATAGTGTTATAATATAAAACCACATAATAATGTCAAAAGTTTACAATCTTGTGAATCTGCATTATTAGCTGTCCAGAGCTTCATGCGGTCCGTGGGCCACAGTTTGGGCATACCTGCTTTAGAACAATTGCTGTTTGTCTATAATGCTTTTTTCCTTAGTTAGTTTTTTTTATTTTTGATCATAGCTATAGTATCTGGAATTTATCAAGGAACCAAGAATTCTGGGCTTTTTGTCCATGAAAAATAGCCCAAAAACTATTATACACCATTTAAGAGATAAATCTACATCTGATTTGTAGCACATATATTTTATTTTTAAGCACTCTTGACATAGTGGTGCAAATATAGACTTTCTTGAAATGGACTTCTCAACTTTAATTTAAATTTCCAGATATTTTTTCCTTTTTATATTCTTTAATTTGTCCACCATGATTATTAATTCACACCGTATTTTTATTAATATTTACATGGCATCAGATCTGACAGTTGCATTATTTTTGTCTCTTCTTATATTATCATTATTTTGCCTTTTATTAAATTACCATTATTTTGTTTAATTAAAAAAGCATACTGATGCATTTGTTAATATGTATGATTACAGAAAAGCAGCCATAGATAGATTTCATACATTCTTTGTCTGTGTCTTAATTTTCAGGATGGGTGGAAGGGTACATCTTGGCTAATCCTTTATTTTGTGGAAGAAGATGCCAAAGCTCAAGTTTACCTGGAATCACTATGTTAGACAGATGGATCTGAAAAGTTCCTCCAAGAGGTAGGCTTGCACCTTGTATCCTTTGGACTGTCAAATTGATTCCTGTCTCATTCATAGACATCAACAATTGATCAGTCCCTTCGGATCCCTTCAGAGGCATACCTCCTCTACATGAAAAAAAAATGAAATCAAGTTTTGCAATACCATTCCTGTCTCAGAATAGGGCTACTTCAAATGGAACTGTAGAATATTTATGGACCACTACCAGGCCACGAAATGCCAGCAACCAGTCTACACAAACAAGCAAAGCCCCATCCGTGGGATGCAGGCAGCACACAAAACCACACACTCTCCGGTCCACGGAAAAACCTTTCTCCATGGAACCAGTCCCTAGTGCCCAAAATATTGGGGATCTTTGCTATAGTTGCTTCTTTCTCATGTTTCCCAGCAAGTGACATTTGGAGACATGGTGCCTCTAATCCTTGACTATGCATCAAGGAATCTTCTGGAATGGCAAAGGTATTTATTACAAAACTATCCGAAGACTTTTATTAAGCACTTTGAATAAAATAAAGAAAACTGAGAAAAAATTGAATAAAGATTCTTATATAAATAATAGAATAGAATAGAATAGAATAGAATAGAATAGAATAGAATAGAATAGAATAGAATAGAATAGAATAGAATAGAATAGAGCTGAAGAGACCTTGGAGGTCTTCTAGTCCAGCCCCCTCCTCAAGAAGGCGAACCTATACCATCTCAGACAAGTGACTGTCTAGCCTCTTCTTAAAAATCTCCAGTGATGGAGCGCCCACGATTTCTGGAGGCAAGCTGTTCCACTGGTTAATTGTCCTCACTGTTAGGAAGTTTCTCCTTAATTCCAGGTTGCTTCTCTCTTTGATCAGTTTCCAACCATTGTTTCTTGTCCTGCCCTCTGGTGCTTTGGTGTATAATGTGACCCCCTCTTCTTTGTGGCAGCCTCTCAAATACTGGAATACTGCTATCATGTCACCCCTATTTCTTCTTTTCTTTAGACGAGCCAAACCCAAGTCCTGAAGCCATTTTTCATATGTTTTAGTCTTCAGGCCTTGGATCATCTTAGTTGCTCTTCTCTGAACTTTTTCCAAGGTCTCAACATCTTTTTTGTAGTATGGTGACCAAAATTGGCTGCAGTATTCCAGGTGTGGTCTTACTAGGGTTTTATAAAGTGGTACTAATACTTCACGTGATCTTGCTTCTATGCCTCTGTTTATACAACCCAGGATTCCATTAGCTTTTTTGGCTGCTGCTGCACACTGCTGGCTCACAGTCAAGTGATCGTCCACTACGACTCCAAGGTCCCTCTCACAGTTACTGTTTTTGAGCCAGGTCTCACCTAATCTGTACTTATATCTTTGATTTTTCCTGTCTACATGTAAAACTTTGCTTTTCTCCACATTAAAACTCATTTTTGTTGGATAGGGCCCATTGTTCCAGTTTGTCAAGATCTTTTTGAATCCTGAGCTTGTCTTCTGGGGTGTTAGCTATTCCTGTCAGTTTAGTGTCATCTGTAAATTTGATGAGTTCCCCTTCTATTCCCTCATCTAAGTCTTTTATGAAGATATTGAAGAGTCATGGGCCTAAGATGAAGTCTTGTGGTACCCTACTGCTTTACTTCTCTCCATGTGGAATGTAGTACCATTGAGGACTACTCGCTGAGTATGGTTTGTCAGCCAGCTACAAGTCCATCTGGTGGTGATGTTGTCTATTCCACCTTTTTCTAGCTTACCAAGCAGTGGTCTACTTTGTCAAATGCTTTACTGAAATCTAAGTATACTATGTCCACAGCGTTTTGCTGGTCTACTAATTTGGTCACTTTATCAAAGAATGAAATAAGATTAGTTTGGCATGATCTGTTTTTAACAAACCCATGCTGGCTACCAGTTATAACTTTGTTTGCTTCTAGTTGTTCGCAGATCTGTTTTTTTATTATCTTTTCCAGGATCTTCCCAGGTATTGATGTTAGACTGATTGGTCTGTAGTTTCCTGGGTCTATTTTTTTTCCCTTTCTTGAAGATGTGAACATATCAGCCCTTTTCCAATCCTCAGGTACTTCCCTGGTGCTCTAGGATTTTTGAAAGATGTGGTGCAATGGTTCTGAGATAACATCTGCCAGCTCCTTCACAACTCTGGGATGTAATCTGTCAGGCCCCGGTGATTTATATTTGTTAAGGTCGGATAGGTGTTCTCTTACCATTTTCTTGCTTATTTCAATTTTTGTTTCTAGTTTGTCTTTTGCAGTATTTTTTTGGTATGTTGTGCTATAATTTCTTTTTGTGTGAAGACTGATGCAAAGAATGAGTTAAGCAGCTCTGCTTTCTCCCTATTGCTTGTTATTTCCTTGCCATCTTCTCTCTTTAGTGGACCTACAGTTTCCTTGACTTTTTTCTTGTTATTAATATGTTCAAAGAAGCTTTTTTATTATTTAATTACACATAATTTTATTATTGACAATTCAAATTGCTTTCCATATCTAATATGCAAAAATAATTTTCAAACCTCATTCCAAAAAAGATTACAAATCTAACATAAAGTCTCATTAATACAATTCCTATGCAATTAGAAATACATCATAAGAAGAAAAATAAATTAGAAAATATTTATATTCCTACTATCACAAGAAAATACCAGTGATTAAATACAAAAGCTGAAAAAGGTATAAAAGCCAATAAGGAAATTATATATTAACAATGCTTAATTCGTCACAGGAATTAAGGGACCCATGGCTGAGCTGTGAAAATCTCAGCGACCACTAGATGGCAGTAGGAAAAGACATAAGACATCGAAATTCAAAGCTTTTACAGAAGTATGCTTCAAAGTTTAGATTTGGAGAGACAAGTATATGACAAGTGCTGATTAAAATATAATGTGGGTAGTTAAACTTCTAGGAAGACTTCTAGGAATACAAAAACCTAATTTATGGGCTGTGTTCGATTGCAGCTTTGCTATAGTCAACCATGGTGAATAAAGTCAATTTCCTTAGTATTCTGGATATACTTATAAACTAAGCCCATGGGAACACTTCACCCAGCATGCTTAATTAGTTTATGTGCCAGTATAAAGTGTAAACAAAGACACCACAAGTCTGCCACCTACAGACTAAATATCATCCAGTGATTCTGTGAAACTCTTGTGGAGATTACTAGCCTTGTTTCTCTTTTCTAAACCTACATTCATTTTCACAACTAATCCCAAGGGTCAAATAAAATTAACACATAAATCTCAGTGTTTTTCAAATGTAAAGTGTCCCTTTAAAAAATTCAATCCATATATTTTATTAATAATAGGCTAATACTGTGGTCTTGGTTACTATATAAGTATATATTTGTTTCAAATGTCTTTCTAAGATTGTTTTAGTCTAGTATTTAAATTGCATGCAAGATTTCTGCTTGAAAAAAATAAAGTTTCAAGAAGTTTGCTCTCTCTTTTTCTTTCTCCCACACACTTATGCAAGATTCAACATTTCTTCTTAATCTTGTATTATCCCTCCCCCACCTACTGCCCAATTTAATTCCATCCAACCAATAGCTAATGAAAAATCTTTGCTGTATCCTTATTTCTGTTCGACCTGTCTTGCCTGGGCTGCATCAATCTGGATGTGTTTCAACTATCTCTTGGCTGCAATCTGGGGAATATCTAGATTGTTTTTCAATCCATATGGAATGCTATTTAAAGCCTTTCCTTGGCATGCAATTCACTTAAGTGCCATTCTTTCTATCTATCTAATCACAGTACAAATATGCCCCAACAATCTCCATTTTCTGCTGTTTTTATAATATTGCCTTAATCTGATCCCAGATTATCCCCAAGGCAGCCTTAAGTCATCCTTAGCTGTTCCAATGTTAGGGTTTTCCCTGTTGTTCCAATACACCTAATATTGAGCTGCCAATGTAACCATCTATCAACACTTGCCTCCTCTTCCCAGTCCCAGCCCAATGAACAAGAGTAAATTGGTTAATGTCTTTCCATCAGCTAATATACTGTAATAGGAGGGAGGAGGAACAAGTCCAGAGTGCTTCACCAATCCCTTTCTTTAACTTGTCCTGAAGACAGAAAATAAGGATCCAATCATTTGGCATCATCCTTCCTGTGGCAGGATAAGGATCAACAAAGGGAATAGCAAAAATAACACTGGAACACCTTTCTGAAGAGGACTGACGGAGTCCTAACTGGGTTTCTTGACTTGCTCTGAAAGTCCCTGAGATAAAGATATTTATCAAATAGTTGGCCTACCTTACACACCTCTACTATTTTGGTAGTCCCAGCTGGCTTTCTCTGATTCTTCAGGAAGGAAGGAAGGAAGGAAGGAAGGAAGGAAGGAAGGAAGGAAGGAAGGAAGGAAGGAAGGAAGGAAGGAAGGTGAAGCATAAGTATGTATGAACCTTTATTCCTACCTGAGTGAGAGAAGAGGGAGGTTCTTGTGATAATTTGCTACAAAAAAAGATACATTAAATGTAGGTGGGATGCCAGCAACCAAGACAGATTCTATGAGGTTCCCATGTGGGTGAGTTGACCTGAGTTCCTTCTGAAAAACTGGAAAGAAAACAGTTTTGGCATAATATTTCTATAAAAGACAAGACTTATCACTTGACAAACTCAATAGGCATACAGTATAGATTCTTAACATAAAAGTAATTGCATTGTAATTTATATTAAAACTTCTCTCTACCGCTGAAATAAATGTCATCTAGGAATTCTAACTTGTTCTACTTGTGAAGTTAAGGAAAATGATCCGATAAATTAGAAGCCTTTACTGCCAATATGAACTAGTCCCAGTGGTGGGATTCAAATATGTGAACAACTGGTTCTCTGTGTGGATGCCATTTCCGGAAGTCCATTCTGGGCCTGGGCAACAAAAAATTAGCTACTGGTTCTGCTGAACTGGTGCGAACTGGCTGAATCCCACCACTGACTAGTCCTAGAAACAACAAAGAACAGATCCTGCAGCATCTAAGAATTTACTTATATGTGTGTGTGTAGCCCTAAGTTTAAACCTAGGTTTCCTAAGTAATGGTTGTCTCAGATTGGGATATTGATGATATCTGTATAAGATTTACAGTATGTACCAACTTTGCTTATTCCAGCTCTTTGCTCCCTTCCCATCTTTCCAGGTTGTCCTTCCCACTACATGGATCCAGAATCTATAGCTGAAATGTTTCCCAAATGTCCAATAATTATCAATAACTGTAATTCTATCAAACATTTATTTCTTGATTAAAAATATTTCTCTTGCCCTTCCAAATCCATTCATATTTTACTCTTTTATTTATCAAAAGGAAAGGAAAGGACAAAAACAAAATATCAGATTACCAAATATGTCTTGATCTGAAACAATGATCTCATCAATGAAAAACCAGCCAAGTGTCTCTGTTGCAGCAGCAGGAGCTTCTACATCAACCTGGTGCAAAAACACTGAAGAATTTTTGGGAAGATCATTAAGGAATTCAGAACTATACAGACAGTCTCTCCAAAGGTTGATGCATATGAATTTCCAGCTGAAAGAGAAATATATTTTTGTATTTATCACCTAAATTTATGTTAGATGTCTACTTAAAAGGAAATTTACAATTTTTAATGACAGAAAAGTTTCCTAGCAATATTCCTGTGAATTTCCTAAATCAGCTTTCAAACTGTGTTCTGTGGAACCATACGTTTCCATGAGAACTTGATGGGGTCCATGAGAAACTAAGGTCAAACAAACAAACAAACAAACCCAAGTTCACTCAAAGGCAAGCCAATTCTTTTTCATGAGAGCTCTGCCTCTTGATCAGAATTCTGGAATTGCTTTTGTTTCTTTTTTGAACAGATTCCATGACCTGAAAAAGTTTGAAACCCCCTGTCCTAAAGCATGACTCTGCCAAATCAAAGTCATATACTCAGTGGAATGAAGCCAGAGAGTCATGGTTAGGTCTCTATTTTTGAACATAAGGGCAGTTTTCTAGATATTGCTGAAATGTAATTCTCCACTGCTTGAGTCAGCATGGTCAAATGGGGAAGGATACTTAGAGCTGTATCCCAAAAATATCTGGAAACCAAAAGCATCAAAAGAAGTGGTTTTGATTCCTATTGGTTAAGTACTTGTCCCATTGCCTATATGTCAGAAGCATACATATTGCAGCTAATTATGTTAAAAGAAAAGGACTGTGGGAAATGTATAAAATGAATTTTTATAGATAGACCTTTCTGGACTGGATTTCAGATTCCATTGGCAGGTCACATGTTTCTTCACGATATCTAGAAAGGTATTGGAATAAGACACTGCAATGTAGAGGGTATTGCTCATGTAGCCTTTGTATGCAAAGCACAACTGTGAAGAAGGGAAAGAACAAAATTCCCCTTTAAATGATTTGTTTACAATATGGCTGCCAATAATACAAAACAACACATTTCTATACTCAGGTTTCTTTTGAACAATGTACTATCCTACAACATCTGCTCCGCATACACAAGTGCATTACACTTGCCCATCTTATGTCCCTCACCATGCTTGCAGAGATTCAGTTAGCCTTGAGGCCAAATGAGATTTCCTGTTCCTGGTATTGATTGTGCCCATCATCAAAGTCATTCTGTTATTCAATATTTAGTCCTTTCATTGCTTTAAACTTTTTGGAAAAATATTACTCACGTGTGTGTATGTAGTGACATCATAAGGAGGAATTAATTGAGATGTTTTGATAAGGCCTTTTGGCCTGAAATTGCTGAATCTTCCACAAAAGGGTTCTGTCCAACTGACAAGGACTCCACCATTGACTAGATTCTCAATATCTATTGCAGATGTGGGAAAAGTAAGGAAAAATTCCATGCAAAATAAGTCCTAGACAAACCTGAATGCAAGACTAACTTTAATAGCACAGTGCTATGAGTGGCAGTCTCAGATCTGAAAAAGAGCATTAATATAGAAATTCAGTTGTACCACGGAAATACTCGCACATAACAAATTTAGTAAAAGAGGGTTTAAGTTAGGCATATAAATTAGAATATTACCCATAATGCATGGTACACATTATGAAACCCAAGTGTAGGATTCATATCTAGATGATAAATAGGAAGCCACGTGCTAGTTTTGCAACATTCAAGACCACAAGAAAAACGGGGAGAGAAGAGACGTTGTGCAAGATGTAAGCTAAGCTAAGTAGCCACATTGCACTTAATCTACTCTAATTAGTCTTCTGTGGCTAATTTTTATAGATCTTTTTTTGTAAACTACCCTCAAACAGATAGCACATTTTATTCATTTTTAAATAAATGAAATAAACAAATAAAATACTTTTTCATTCAATAATATAATATTCTGACCAATATTTTGTTTGTGTGTGTGTGTGTGTATTCACGCACATGCATGTGGTCATACATTTAGTTTTTGGAGAAAGTTTGCAGATGTTCCTTATCTTTCTTTTACAGTAGCTATTTTTTTTTGCTGAAATAAAGTTTTTCAAACTGAAAATGACAAGCTTACTTTGCTCAAATCCTGTTTGCAAAAAAATATTAGCAGATGATGGCTCTATTTCACATTTTACTGAAAGAAGTTCCTCCAATTCATGCTGCAACTGAAAAATAAAATTATTTTGAGTTTTCTAAAAAAAGTGCAGAGTCCCAAAACCAACCAGGACCCAAATTTAAGATATGTCTAAAGCCAAACAACAAATGCTTTTCCCTACTATAAGTCTAGTTGCATTATATCAAAAATAAGAGAAATTATTCTGGTAGCAGAATAAAGCAGATTGTATATATATATGTACAAAGACATGCACACAGTTTTAAATAACATTTAAAATTTTGAAATCATTTACAAAGATCAAGAGGATTTACTAATTTAACTTGAATTATCATCCTGCCTGAGCAGGGGGTTGGACTCGATGACCTCCAAGGTCCCTTCCAACTTTATTATTATTATTATTATTATTATTATTATTATTATTATTATTATTATTATTATTATTATTATTATTATTATTATATCGACTTTTCAAGGTAAGAAACTGTGGTTCCTTACTCCTTAAATGTCATGCTTCTGGGGTACCTTAACTAACCATAAAATGTCATTTTAGATTTCACACCCGTTTGCCACTATGATCAACTTTTATGTTGGGATATTTTCCAAATTTTTCCTAACATATAACCTCTGCTTATAAAGTTCAATAGATGTTGACGCTACTGTTGTATCACCATCCCAATTCTACATATTGTAATTATTAATAATTATTTTATATCCAGGAGAATAATTGAGAATGTACTTGATCAGCAGTAACATTTGTTGACATGGGATTGCTGGTCACATTGTCCCAAGCAAGACTGAACCATCCTCTGCCAGACAATATCAGCATCTATCAAAGCAGAAAGATTAAGAGTAGCTTACAAAGTATATTTATTTCTTCTGAATAAAAATAAAAATAGTACTTTTTAACAACTTGGGAGTCTTTGTTCTCTCCTTAACTACATAATGAATGTAATATGTAGCTTAGAAGAATTTTGAATTTGATAATTCAAATTCAACTTGAGTCCCAGTTTAATCTATAGTTTCAAAGCAGTGAAATTTCTGCAAACAGTTTCATTTAGGAAGGAGGCAATTAAGAAATGGATGAAGTCATTCTGCAAAATGTTGTTTACTATTTTCTAATAATCCTAGGGAGCTGGACTAGAAGACCTCCAAGGTCCCTTCCAGCTCTATTCTATTCAAGAATTATTATAAGCTGCCAAGAATTGCCTGTAGACCAGATGGATGGTGTATAAGTTTGATAAATAAACAAACAAACAAAACAAAACCTTTACTCTGTGTGGTCAGCCAATCATAAATTAGGCTGCCTTGCATCCCTTCACAAGGATAAAAAGGGAAAAGCCTATTTCTCAATTGCTAAAAATGATCCAACATCCAGTTGATAAATTGGGTGAAGAAATGAACATGGCTCAGACTGACCAACAGTCCCATGTAGAATATATGTGCAGAATACAAGCAGGAAAAAAATGAAATCTGGTGGCACCTTTGTTATGGTAGAAACTGTAATGGCCTAGAGTTTATAAATACACTGAGATGCCAAGATAATATAAGCCTTTTTACTGCCATTTGTGAAAACCTGATATCTAAACCTGATTTAAAATTATAATTACGATAAAAAATCTGACTTTTTTAAAAAAAAAGTTTCAATAAAAAGAAAATGACAAATACACATATATACATCATATTTTATAGCAATCATCCACAAAAGCTATAACTGTATGCAACTCATAGAAACAGTGGGACTTCAATTCATTGAGTCAGTGAGGCTGCAAATTTACCTTGAGGCATAAGAAACAACTTGGAAATCAAGAAGCACAACTAGTAAATAAAATTCAAATAACATTAATTTGATAGTATTTTTTAATCAATTCAATTGACAACTGTTATAGGGAAAGCTGTGCAGAACAAATAAAAAATTCAAATTCAGATTATATTCTGGAATTTACCTGTATCTCTGGAAGCTGGATAGCATTGGCTTGTATTCTGTATCTCTCTCTGCAATAAGTACTAACCACATCTGGGTTTAGCCAGGTATGGTGCAACTGAACCCCCACGCTCATTCCATTGTTTGGGGTTATCCCATTATGCACAGCTTCCAAATAGTACATCGTATCAGCAATTAGCTCATATTTCTCTGATTTGGGCTTCCTAGGATGAAACCAATCTTCCTTCCAAAATGCTGACCAATCAGCAGTACCAGTAGAAATTGATACAACTTCTACCTGTTGACCAAAATAATGAAAGCAGTAAAATGGTCAGAGGAGGTGTGCATTTGACTACCTTTTATAGTATCAGTTCTTCATCAGAGCATTCCAAACTGAAGAGATCATACAGTCGGCTGATTCAGAATGAGGTACCATTCTTTTAGATCGGGGTGGGGAACTATGCCCTTTTATGACTTTTGGACTTCAACTCCCAGAATTCCTGAACCAACCATTTTCACTACCATCTCAAGCAGAGGTGGGGAACTATGGCCCCTTTATGACTTGTGGACTTGAACTCCCATAGTTGGCTCAGGAATTCTGGGAGTTGAAGTCCACAAGTCATAAAAGGTCCATAGTTCCCCACCTTTGCTTTAGATGGTAGTGAAAATGGGTGCAAAATGGAAAAGACTGAGAAATGAAAAGACAAAGAAAAAAAAAGATTACTGATTACAAAAAAAGGCAAATACAAATCTTCTAAACTGATCACAAAAACCTTTTTAAAAGAAAAAATGCACATAGTAGCTATTATCGAAGTTCTCTGAATTTAGATTCAGTTTGAATGACACCAAACGCATTAAGTTAGTGGTGGGCATAATCTAAAATATTTGATTCAAAAAGCAAGGGAAAATAAAATGATTTTTCCAAATGATAGATCCTAGTGTCAAACACAAATAACAGGAACATTCACTGAGTTCAAAGCACACATTTTATTATTTCTACCTCTAATACAAAAATCTAGTCAACTAATAGAAGTAAAGGTAAATTGGTGCTAGATAACAGTCAACAGAATTTGGTAGAGTGGGGTAGATTATTGTGAAAATGCAATGACTCCAAACTGAAGACACATTTAACCCCGCTTTCCAGCTCAGCTTCTTCTCCTACATCTGGTGACAGTTACAAGGTAGGCTATTGTATATAATCAGGGAGTGAACTCCACACTCAATAGCACTGATAATATTACCTAGTTGGGTAATGAAAAGTCTACAATCAACCAACCAACCTCAGAGATTATTCCACAGTTACAAAGATAATTTATTATTAGACTCTGTATCAAATGGATTACAATAGAATTGAAGCTGGCCAGTAGCTACTATTTGCTTCATATCTGAAGTAGCAATTTTTACTTTTCCTGATTGACTATCACCGATTTTGGTTTCAGAAACTCCACATTGATTGCTTTTCCTACCACCTTTCCTAAGAGGCAACAAGAAGACCTGGTGGCAAGGCTTTGGCACATTTAGAAACCAACAGGCTTCTGAAGAAGCATTCTTAAATTGAATAATTCAAATGCATGAAGAAACAAGTCACTGTTCTGTCTAGGGAAACAGGGAGTTAAGTTGCAGTGAATAAATAGTAAGAATCAAAAGGTTTAGCTCTGAACATCAAATGATTTAATTCACTCAGAAATTAAACTGCAGAAATTCTTGCTGGAGAATAATTACATGAAAGAAAACTAATTAGTATGAGAATAAGAGAGATTATTGTTTCATTGAATTAGTACAAAAGATGTAATGCTTTTGAGTCTTAAAAAAACAGCAAGATAATAGATCTGTCCTGAACCCTAAAAATAAACCTAAGGAAAATCCAAACTGCTTGATGATTTAAGTATAGCCACTAATCTGAGTCTGTAGTAGCTGTGAAAGTTATCCATTCTGTAGAAAAGTCTCTATTTCATCATCCATTGAAAAATTGGAACTGTACAATTTAGAATCAATTTTTTTAAAAAAATAATAGTTGATTAATGGAGTTAGACTCTCCTGTCAGGATAAGTGATAAGGTGGTGCAGTGGTTAGAACACAGTACTGCAGGCTAACTGTGCCTACAATCTAGAGTTCAATCCTGAAGGGGCTTTCCATCTTACTGAGGTTAGTAAAATGAGGATCCAGATGGTTGGGGGCAATATGCTGACTCTGTAAACTGCTTAGAGAGGGCTATAAAAGCACTGTGAAGCAGTATATAAGTCTAAGTGCTATTGCTATAAGAGATCATGTTTAATTTGTTAAAGTCTCAAAACCGATATCACTGGATTTCTCTTCCCTTTCCCAGTATCTTTGCCTGTTACGATGTAATGGAAACAAACTCTGCATTTAGAAAAAAACAAGGGTTCTATATTGTTCTGGAAATGAATGGGATATAAAAGATTAATATTTTTTTTAACTTTCTGCTTTAAGGATTTAATGTTAACTAATAGCTTTTTTACAATTTCAAATAAATGCTTTTGCATTATTCAAATAAATCTTTTGTTTGTATTTTCAACAAAGATGTATACAGGGACCATATGGGTTTAAGCTATAATCAAATAGGGTCATAATCCTAAAATTATTGTAATATCTGTTTCACACATTTTTTCATACTGAACAATGAGCTGCCAGGAAATAGTTCATACAAAAACAATTTCATTCCTCAAAAGACAAGAAAATGTATTCAAATTGGGACACAAATATTAAAAGGGACATTTTTCATCTTGTATTTCTTATATAACAAACGGTTTAGTAGCTAATAAAATATCCGGGATATCTGGGAAATACTAATCTTTTTTATGTGCAACTACTGTTAATGGATCAGTATGAAGTAGTTTCTCTGAATGTGGCCAAATTCTGCTACGCTGTATGTAAAATTAGACAAAATTTAACTGCCCACTGTTAATCCACCACAAATCGCAATATATTATTCTCTTTTATTGTTATTTTTGACTATTATTACTGTTTTAATGCTTTTATTTGTGGTGCTGGTCCATGACCATAATAAAGATTGATTGATTGAAGCAGTTTAGAAAATATACTAATTAAAATTGAAATATTACTTGCATGCCTAGAATTATTTTTCATAACATCATCATTCAACTTTTCTGTGACAACGTACAGAACACAAAACAGGCATGAGCCCTACTTATCATGAATAAACAATAACACCAATCTAATAAAATGCACTGGCATAAGCTTCCAGACTGAGAAAAGTTGATTCAAAAAGCAAAGGAAAATAAAATGACTTTTCCCAATTACAGATAGATCTTTTCTGTAAAAATCTTTAATTGCTCAGTATTTGACAGATACCTGCCAAATTCAAGCCTCGAGATTAGTTTAACTGTGTAAATCGGTGGTTTGTTTTTAATTGTAAGTCAGTCAATAAAATTAGCCTCTGTAGGAGAGGAATGCACAATTTAAAAAAAAGAATGGGGAAATTACAAACCAGTTAAGTTTATATCTGGATAATTTTTTGAAGAAGGATCAGTATGGATTCTGCCATACTAAGTTATATATTTACCTCTTGTGAGCTAGAGGTGATATGCTTAAAAATCCAATTTTCTTGGATTTTCAAAAACTAAATCTTCAGAAAAGACTCAGCAACCATGGAATAAGAAATTTCCCCCAACTGGTTAAAAAAACTGACAAGAAAAATAAATGGGCCGCCAAGGATATATATTGGGGTGAAAATTGTTAATCTATTCGTCAGTGACATAAAGTTGGGGCGTTCACTAGCCATATTTGCTGATAATGTCAAACAGGATGATGGCAGAAAAGTTGTTTCAATTATACAGACACAGCTTGATTCTTTTTGACTCCCCTGTAGATATTCCTATGTGATTAAAAAGAAAAAAAACAGAGAATTTTTTTTTCCCAAAAATGCATTTCCAAATGGGGGGGCGCGATATTAAAATAGCAAATTCACTTCAATATAAGCAAGTCTGCAATAATAGATACTGAAGTTGAAAGCCTAACTTTGCAAATGCAGTATATACAGTTTTGCTAACATGGTCTACATTAGTGATAAATAACAAAGTAAATAATCATTCTTGTGGATGACTAAATGAAAACATTGCACATTGTGAAAAAGGACATTTTTGAGGGCTGCAGGGCATGAGTGAGCAAACTAGCCTTCTCTATATTCCCACCTTATTTCTCCAGTCTTACTGCTATTCTGGTAACAGAATAAAACAGTTTTATTTCAATGTTCTTTGGGTTCCAGGTAACTGTGACATCAATCTTGGCTTTATTTGAAATGTATCTTTTCTTTTTGTGATTGTGTGCTGGTTTTCACATTATTGTTTATTGTAATTTGGGAAGATGATTGTTATTGATGATGAAGTTATATGCCACCCTCAGTCCCCCAAGGCTGGAGAAATTTATCAGTATGTAACATAAATGCATTAACAAGCAAACAGATTCCAGGAAACATTAAGAAAAATAAGGAAAGTGATGTAAAATAAAATTGCCAGTGTAGTAATGTTTATATACAAAAGCAAGTTATAACTATAAGTGAAATACAACAATTTTTTTTCTTTTAAACAGGGAATTATGTAGCTAAAAGACATGGGAATAAGGCAGCTGAAGTGATCATGAAAGAAAGAAAGAAAGAAAGAAAGAAAGAAAGAAAGANGGAAGGAAGGAAGGAAGGAAGGAAAGAAATTTGGGGTTTCATTTATGAAAGCTGAACAATACATAGAAAGCAATGATTTGCTAGGTCTAATATTTTTTGCAGTGCTGGTGATCATCCCAGAAGCAAAGCAGCTGGGGAAATGGAAAGGTTTCAGGCATGTATTGTGAAATATATTTTCACAATATATTGATATTGTGAAAAAGAATGCTAGAAGAATAGGGCTGAAAATTCCTTTAAGATCCCATGATATGCTATCACTACACATTTATACATACCCTAAAAGATCCTGCAAAGTACAACTGGTTACTGTATATACTTTCTTAAAGCAGGGAAAGAATACTGTACAGTCTCAATTACACATTTTGGAACTAAAACAAAATAGCATGAAAAGTTGATAGGATGTTAGCCAAACTAGCAACATATTCTGTTTTGGGTCAAAAATGGTTCTGAAAATTTGCAGCACATCTGAGTTCTGAAGATATGTATCATTTGGAATATTTCCCCTTACAACATTGAACCAGGCAGTGAGACCCCCTCTCATGATTTCATATAAGTATCTCACAGTCAAGCATTATTAGGTAGCTTCCTGATCTATTGTTCCACCCAGCCAATCAGAGCACTTAGAGCCAATCCCTCATTTGAATGGCTGCCATTATATAAGGGCACAGCTACAATGAGATCACTATCATTTGTAAGGGGGCAAGTAAGCTGAACGGGAGGGGTAACAACCAGCAAAGTCATGGCTGCTTTCCAAAGAGGCAGGAAGGCCTACTTCCGGAGGAAGAGGAGAATGGGCCAAAAGAGATACCGAAAGTTCCTGAGCAAACGAAGGAAACATAACTCTAGGCGAGGTAGGAAACGAACCAGGCACATAATGAGAACCAGACACATAATGAGATATGCAAGGAGATATGCAAGGAGCGGCTATCGAAAGAGGCGTATGCCTGTGTCCCGATACCTGGACCGAAGAATCAGGGACAATGTGCTCTCAGCCCAAAAGGCCAAGCATTCAATGACTTCCTACAGGGGCAATATCTATCATAGGAAGCCCTTGAAGGTAGGTAGACCAAGAAAGAAGAAGCATTATAACCGTACCCGTTCAGCTTTTCTGAAAGCCAGACTGAAGAAACAAAGAGCTAACAAAAAACGTGCCAAGCCTTCTGCTCTTGAGAAAAAAGCCAAGAGAAGAACCCGTTATTCTGATGAGGAAGTTTTCTATAGTATGGCCAACCCTTCCATGCCAAAACCAGCATCAGAAGAAAGACCAACAAAGAAACACACTGTCCGCTTCACAACTCCTGGTAACACAAAGACCGAGCCCCAAGAGGACCCCTCCCTTGATAATCAATCAAGCCAGCAAACAATAACACCCAAAAAACGGGGCAGGCATTCAGCCACCCCTGTTTGCAAAAGCCGTTAATCTAGAGGAACATCCCTCACTCTTCTCTGAATAACACCCTGCAGGCTTGTGGAAAGGTAAGGGAGAAGTAAGAGGAAAATAACATACCAGCCTGCCTTAAAAGATCCAAGAGACCTTATAACTGAACTTTGATGAGACCACTTTCATTCCTACCAATCCGGAATAAAAATGAATTTGCTTTATCAACAAATTAACTTGATTGATGACTGAAAAAGGCATTTGGACAATTGCAAGACGATCCGCTGGAAACAAAAGAGAATCACCTAAGTAAACCTACGCCACTTGAGAACATTTATTTCCTTAACAACAAGGACGTTGATTTAATGAAAAAGCACAAAACTAAAGACTTGCCATAATTTGGTAAAGAAAGGATTGATGTACTGAAGGTGTGTTTTCCTCTCCAAGGAACATCTTAAAAGAGTAATAAAGCTGGATCTTTTGAAATGTGTGTTGTGGAATTCCATGAAGCACGCTTGGACAAAATGGGAAAAAAATACAATGGAGAAGTGACTATTCCTTCTCCTGCGTGATGGCATAGTGGTTAGAATGCAGTATTGCAGGCTAATTCTGCTGACTGCCAGGAGTTCGATCCTGATGGGTTCAAGGTTGACTCAGCCTTCCATCCTTCCAAGGTTGGTAAAATGAGGACCCATATTGTTGGGGGCAATATGCTGACTCTGTAAACCACTTAGAAAGGGATGTAAAGCACTGTGAAGCAGTATATAAGTCTCAGTGCTATTGCTATTTACAAATCAGCAACCAGCCACTGATAAATATCTGCCTATTAAGGTTAATTAGTTCTAATGTTAATTAGATTCAGTCTCAGTCCCCAGGCACTAAAGCACTATGTGAGTTGAGACTGGCTGAAAACTCTATTTATTTGGCATATGGTTTATCATACGTGGACTAACAATATATATTAACATTTCATCTGGATTCCTTTGAATCACTTGATTCACTGGCCCAGGACTGGAATGGGAATGGAATGACAATAGTCCAGTGATGGCGAAACCTAAGGCACGGGTGCCACAGGCGGCACTTAGAGCCCTCTCTGTGGGCACACGTGCCGTCGCCCCAGTCCTAGGCCTTCAGCTGGGTTTTATAAAACTTTTTCGCTTTAGGCCTACGCTGCCATGTGCAAAAAAAAAAAAGGTTCAGTCAATTTCAACTTCTCACAGGGAAAAAAAAAGATCTTGCAAAGTTGGAATTGATTGATTGAACTTTTTAGTCCCACCCAGTCTGTCGTTATCACCATAGCCACGCCCACCCAATTGGCCACGCCCACCCAATGGGCCACACCCAGCCAATGGGCACACCCACCCGGCACCCGACGATGCATAAGTGGGTTTTGGGTTGCAGTTTGGGCACTCGGTCTCTAAAAGGTTCGCCATCACTGCACTAGTCAATTGTAGATAATTACTTGATGTGTGAATGAAAATCGCTGCAAACATTTGTGCAAACAGTTGTGATCTGCATTCAGTGTAATATAGTATTGGTAACATAATTCCAACTGATTTATATTTAGCAGAGAGAACCCAAGCCTGCCAAAAGTTCCATTCCATAAAAGGGAAACCTCATCTTAAGAAATGGCAATATACTATAAAGATAAATAAATATAGCTTGGTTGCTGTTCTCTTTAGATTCAGATCTATCAAAATATTGATTTTTCCCCTACTTTACCCATCTTGCACATAAATTATAAATCTGTCTCAGAACTCAGGTAAACTGCTCAGTTTTAATTCCAGATTTGTTTTCCTTATCTCCTGAAATTATCAATTCATTTTATGTAGTTATGTTTGGAAAGGTCCACGGTTAATTAAAAGAGAATATATATTCCTTTCATTTCAAGCAATTTTTTAGTTTTTGGTAAGGCCAAAGTTCAAATTCCCAAAAGTGGAATTTTATGGACAGTTAATCAAGGACACTCTTTTAGCATATTGGTTTTTGATAACAGTAGCTTGTCATATGTCATACCTTTTTTCTTGGATCGTCTGAGAGGCTTAGGTACAAAGAAGCTTTGCCATCCGCCTGAATCCAAAATGTATAATTATTTGTCTCTGGTGCCATAAAAAACCCTCGTAGTTGTGCACTGGATAGCAAAACAAAGATATTAAGCTACCTCATCTCAAACAAAATTCTTCTGTTGAATCTAAGAGATATGATTTGAATTAGTTCACATATAACAATCCTTATTTTAAATTAAAAGACCTTTCTTTTTAAAAGGCTCATAAAGGTGTGTTCACTATTTCAACCCAGAATATTAGAAATGTCAGGAAATGGCCCATGGTGCCAAATAAATCTTCTTTATTTATGAGCCATTGTGGCACAGTGGTTAGAATGCAGTACTGCAGGTTAATTCTGTTGACTGTTGACAGTTGGAGTCTCACCGGCTCAAAGTTGACTCAGCCTTCCATCCTTCCGAGTTCAGTAAAATGAGGACCCAGATTGCTTGGGGCAATATGGTGGCTCTGTAAACTACTTAGAGAGGGCTGTAAAGCACTGTGAAGTTGTATATAAGTTGTATATAAGTCTAAGTGCTATTGCTGTAGCATTATTGGTATTAATGTCTTGTTTGAACATATCTGCGTACCTGAGGAAATGTACAGTTAATCCATACCAAAAACAATGGATATCTCTGGAAAGAAGCTGTGACATTTACCAGAGCTTTTTGTATTCTATTCAAACATTCATTGTATAGGAACACTAGTGTGCAGTATTTTCATAACAAAATATTGATGCATTTCCTGATCTTGATCATAATCAGGTAATAGGAAAAAATAGATCACATTTTAAGGAAAGGATGGAAAGTTGACTCTGTAATTTTTACTCTGGAAAATAATCTTAATTAATTGTTAATTAATATATGCTGATTTTATCATTTATATCTATGCATTGAATATTTAATCCCAAAATTACTATTATACTAATCAGCTGGTTTTTATTTAGTGCATATACTCCTGAATAAACTGAGAATTATATGTGCCAAAATATACCCCAAAATTGGGTTTGGCTTATCTGCAGATGGGCTTATCAAAGAATATATCCAGTAATACTTTATTTGCCTTATTTATTCATGGACAAGGCAATCCTTGAATTTTTAATCAAAGTACCATGAAAAATGTGGATTGGCTTATCTGCAGGTGGCAATTTTTTTTCATGCTATTTTGGTTAAAAATGTAAGGGTCACCTTATCCATGAATTGTTTTTATATGTAAATATATGTATATAGTAGTCTACATTTGCATTTTTCTTCTTTAAAAACATCTATCTATGTGATTTCTAGGAGTCAAAAATGACTGATGGCATATAACCAATCAATAAATCTAAAACTTTTTTTGTTTTAGGCAGACAGCTTTCCAGGCCAATTAAAATGCAATTAAAAATTATTAAATAAATAAAGCAGTGGTTAAAATGGAGATTAGCTTGAAATGTTATACATACTAGGGCTGTGTAGCTTTTCAGAATCAGAGATAAATGGATGTCTGTTACTAGTTAAAGCTTCTCTACCTTCTCCCAGAATTGTACCTTTGAAAGCTCTCAGTGCAACAAAGACTTCTAAAAAGTCATTGTTCTAACATCATATAGAAAGTGCATATAAGTGTGCTTCGGTTACCTTCCTTCCTCCTACATTGTGGCAAGTAACAAGTAACCTTTTGGAATATTCCAGGAAAGTTTGACTTAAATTGGTTTAATAATAATTCACCATTCTCATGATCACCTAGAAAATCTGAGTTGTTGTGGCTTCCGGTTCTGCGCAGCTAGAGCACCAGCCGAGGGATTGAGACAATCCGATCTCTATGGCTGATTTCTCTCTGTTTGGGGACCCTAAATGGGCCCAAAGCCACCCCAGAGAGGTGGCAAGGAAGGAGGGAAGCCCCGTCAATCCTGGGGAGATGGCGGTCGATTCAGACATCTGGGAAAAGCTCTCCAAAACCGACAGAAGAAAGGCTAGCGTCATTCATGAATCTAGCCCAAGCTACATCTGGCCGAAGCCAAAAAGCACTAAACTAAGCGTGATTGTAAACAGCACGACTGAATTGGGTAAGAATATTAATTTTCTCTCTTCTACCTGACTGATTTCCTGAGGAAAAAAAAGAAAAAAACCCAGAAGTAAAAATCCTCCAAAAGTGAGGCAATCAAGATGACCAGAAAGAAAAGAAGCATGATATTGATAAGATTGTTATTGGTAGAAATTTTAGAAAAATCTTTATATTTAATTGTTACCTATCAAATTAATAAGAATCGTATTAAGTTAGGTTGCAAAGAGAATATTATTGGAAGAAGAGAAAATCAAGCAAAATTATAATGTGGATTTTGGAATATAGAAATTAACCGATAGTGTTTACTTTGTAAATATAAATCCAGACAACACGCTGTTTACCAAATATCAAGATGTTTATTTTTAAAAAATCAATAAAATAATTTAAAAAAAAGAAAGAAAATCTGAGTTGTCGCTTAGAACTGACAGGGAAAATCTTTGAGTATTCTAAACTCTCTCATTGCCGTTCCTATAATCTTTCATGGCAGTTGTATAAAGCAGAAATAAATGTATAAATTGCAGGATAGTCAGCATTATATTATTGCAATTCTTAGTATGAAGAAGACTTAATAAAGAACATGTCAATGCTGCAGTATTTGCAGCGTTGACAGAACACTTATTACCTGAACAGTTTCTGTTTCTCAGGCAGAAAATTGTATGGAGAACTGGCATTAGGAACAATCTGCCAGCTGTATCCTGGAATCACTTCAGTGAGATTAGTGTCTGAACCATCCCAAACTTCAAAAATAAGGCCTCTGTTTCCTGATAAGTTGGAAAACAAAGTTGGAGTCATCAATAAATGAACAGAACCATTAGTAAGTTTATAAATGTGCAAATTAACCAGTGATCTAAATCAGCCCATAACAACCTGAGTCTAAGATCTGAGCCCCACCTCATTTCTCATTTGATCACTTGGATGGGCCATAAATTGAAGATACCTGGTTTAATTTCACTGAATGTTTTATTATTGTCTACTGCTCCAGTTGTACAGATTATCTTTTGTGGAGAAATGTGTTTAATTTGGCAGGGAGTTCCTGTGGAGAAGAAAGAAGAGCATGAAAATGAAAAATCTCAGAGCATTCACATCATTCCTACAAACTCACTACACATTCCAAATAATTGTGTACATTTTTTTATCATGTTTCCATTTTTTGAGGCTTATGCCATGAAATTTGATTTTATCATTTTTACCTGCAGCTGTGACTTTCATAGGTGTATCAAAGAAGTCCCCTGTGATGGTGAGATCAGTTCCACCACCTAGGCTGCCTGTAGCAGGAGACACTGAAGAAATGTCTGAGAGAAAAAATAAAAAGGTAATCATAAGCTGCATAAGTTCCCCTCCCCTCCCTTTATCTTCATAAGAACTAAGAAGAGTCAGGTCCGAGATGCTTTCTCAAATTATATTCCTGCCTTGGACTCAAGACACTGTCTTGGTTGCAACTCTCCTGTTCCTCCTCAGACCAGCTCACATTAAGGAAAGTGATTGGTGGACATCATTGCGGGCCAACCAATATTGGGACAGATTAGTTTCCTGTTGGCTTAAGGACTTTTGAAGGGCCATGCATCTCTGTATCTATGTCCACCTGTTAACATATTTTTTAAAAAAAAATCCATTTAAAAATAATGGAATAGTGATTCTTCTTCATTGAATATGAACAAGAGGGGAAAGAATAGAGATACTTTCATGACAAAATGGCTTCTATGCCTTCTTATTTGGACAGCTTGAGAATTTTTATACTTTTGGGACCATCTCCACTCTGTACACATTCTAAAAACCTAAAAGCTGGATGTGCCCCTTCTGGTGACTGTATCATTAGGTCTATCACCCCCCTAAACCCTTCTCACCCCTCTTTCACTCCTTTTCCATTCTTTCTTTTCTGTCCACCTCCAAAGCCACTCTTCAATCTCTTTTTTTTAATTAATTGAAGCTTTTCCTCTTACTGTTGTTTTAATATATCTGTAACTATCTTGGCCAGGGTATCTGGGGCTAACCCCATTTCTGACTAGTCTACCTTCTTCTTTGGTTTAACCACAAGTCTAGGGTGGATACCTGTCTCTACCAAAGTAGTGGCCTCTTCTAAGAAAGAATCTGTCATTTCTGCCTTTTCCATGACTACTTGTTTGTTCTAGGCTCTGGTAAAAAGTCTGGTTTCTGTGGCCAGGATATTGGCCAATTTTGGCAAAGTCTGAACTGTATAAGGACCAAACTCCCTCCCTTTTGCAGCCTGTTTTGCAGCCATTTTTTTCATGGCATATTTAATGACCTCGCGTTTAAGCCAACTTCACTTGTGTGATTGCCACCCTGTGTTGGATATCTCTCCTTTTTTTTCTGGATATCCTATCTTTTGGATATCCCACTTTTGCCACCAGTTTATCATAGGTTCTTTTAAGTATACCCAAGTCAGTGGGTTCCAAAACATAAGAGATTCAACACAAGTTCCTAGGCAACACAGATACACATACCCATTCACAGACTAATATTCACCACTCACCACTACTCCACTCTTCTCCCCCTATTCTACTCTTCCCCATTGCTCCCACACCTCCTACTACTGTTCCTTCAACTCCAACACTATTCCTGGTGAGTTCTATTACTGACAAATGTATCTTTTTCTGGCTGGTTTAGGCTGCTTCATCTCCACACATGAACATACATCTCCTTCTCACACACACTCTCAGCACAGTTTTTATAGCCAACATTACTGTGCTGGCTGAGGAGAGGGCTTGAAGAGACAGGACGACAGCTACACAGGTGCTGACCATTTTCTAGGCAACGTGCCCTCTCACATAAATTCACTCTAAGAAAGTTCACTAAGCTAGAAATCAATTTAATAGTTCCAAAAAAAACCCAAAAATGCTACTAGAAAACATACTGGGTCCTAGACTAGATAATCACAACTACATCTCATATATCTGGGATTATATTGAAAAATAACAAAATAATACTAGAAGTGGTATATGTTCCTTTCCTCTTTACACTCTCAGGCTAAAAAAGAATATATCTTAATTTGTCTGCACCTCAAATTAGAAGGCCCAAAAGTTTCCCTCTAAGGTGGGTGGTAGTGGTATATAATCTTCCATTACATTGGTTATATTCACTACCTATCACTAGAAGGTCCTATAGGACCGTTTTCATTCTTGCTGGAACTTGTCAGGTTTAGGCAATCCCTATATATTAGACATTATTCAATGTACGTCCAACTCTTTACTGGGACTGAACTCCCACACTTGTGCTTTGATGACTGTAATGCAGTATGGTTAAAACTATCTTGCAGATAGGGGTTTTAATTTATCTGGTCCTCAGCTCTCTAATCCAAGAGAGCAAACACATAAGAAAGGAATGTGTATCATTCATTGGATCTACAGACTTCTCTTTCTTCAAGCTGCTAAAGATACCATATAATAGTCATCAATGTGCAAGGCAGTGGTGGGATTCAGCCAGTTCGCACCACTTCAACAGAACTGGTAGCTAATTTTTTGTTGCCCAGGCCCAGAATGGACTTCCAAAAGTGGCATCCACACAGAGAACCGGTTGTTCACATATTTGAATCCCACCACTGGTGCAAGGCCTGGAATTTCAAATACCAGTAAAGGGTTGAACATATAATATATAACCCTCAACCTCTTTTGTAAGGGCCTAAACACTAATTGGCTCTGCCAATCAGTTGGGGCCACAGTAGGGGAACAGCACAATGGAGGTGGTTGATTAAGTAATAACAGATCCCACTCCACCCCTGCCCTCCCCATGTGTCTTTGGTTTTAATGTCTGATTTTAATTTTTTATGTTTTAACTGTATATGTAACTGTAAGCCACCCAGAGTTACCCAATAAATAAATAAATAAATACATAAATAAATAAATAACACTAACATACAATGGCTACTTATGGCTGACATTCCAACAAGAAAAATTTTGATTATGCAATGTTTCTAGTAGTTAGTAATGAATACAAGCACTGAAATATATAACAGTTATGGATTAAACTTGCTTTCACAATCCTTCCACAATCTTTCAAAATGAAGCACTGCAAATTTTACACCAAGATAGAGCACAGCACCTGAGAATGTCTGGTACAAGAAAAGTTCCTGTTTAGCACTTATAAGCCAAGCATCTTTGTGCACTATTGACCTGCAACATCAAAGCAAAAAAAAATTCAGAAATACTTAAATGAGGAGAAAGTAAAATTGACACCTGTAAATTATAAAATGAGGGAGAAATTGTAACATTATGATGAAACACTGAAGAAATCAATATTTAAATAAAGGATTAATTGAACTTTTTAGCAAACATTAAAAAATATATAGCCTATTTAGACATATTAGATGTTTAGTTAGAGACTAAGAGACTGAAATCAAAATTACCCAACCTATTCAGTAGTATGGTTCTTGTAAATCTCTTAGCTATTCATTTTTTTCTTCTTGTGCTTCTTTTCTTTTCTTTTTACAGATGTTTAACTAAAACAAGAATTTAGAAAACAAAACATTCCCATACCATTCAACTGGAAGTCTGTCAGGTCAAGGACCTTTCCCCAGTTTTGTGGTTTGTATTGTCTATATAATTTCTTATAATATCAGTGTAGCTGGCAGGTTATTATTTTTTTTCTGATACATCTCTTCCATTTCAATTGTTTGCCAAGAAATTAATAATTTCTGTTTAATTACTGATGGCTCTGATTTATAAAACTGAGCATAGAAATCATAGAACTGGAAATTGATAGATTCTGTCTCAGTTCATAACTGACAATTATTGGCCTGAATTTCTGATATCACATTTCATTGTTGAACATAGTCTGAGATTGCAACAGGGCTACTGAGGAGTCCACAGCAAAGCAGAAGAAATTAAAAAGTAATGAGGCCACTACTTTAAAATTGTAGATTTTAAAAATGCTGAATTATCTTAAAGTCCACTATGTCCATTTTGAAAAGTAAAAGGAGAGTGTTTTTGGAATATATCTAACAGAGAATCTTTGTTTAAGTTAAAAATCACCAGCACTAATTATATGTTGATAGTTTGCGAAATTTCACGATAACAATTATGAAGTGTTCTTTCAGGAGTGTTCTTGGTGGAACCATCAAAGTTAAAAGATAGCCAGTGGTTAAGGCACCAGACTAGAAACCAGGGGTCCATGAGTTTGAGTCCTGCCTTAGACATGAAAAATGGCTGGGTGACTTTGGATCAGTCACTCTCTCTCAGGTAAACTCATCTCAAAGGGGTTTTGTTGTCGGGAAAATAGGAGGAGAACAGAGTACTATGTAGATATGTTCACTGCCTTGAGTTGCTTAGAACAATAATAAAGGGAGAATATTAAATAAATAAATAAGTAAGTAAATAAATAAATAAATAAATAAATATCAGCAGAACAATGACATCAATTCTCTTTACTGTCAAAGAACTGAAATATTCTTCACTATAATAGTGCTCAAATTCCATGTCAGTTCTGAAGTTGCTATTAACATAATCACTACCTCACATGATTCATTTGAGTAATATAAATTGGCACAATTCAACTCCTGAGCCTCAAAAAAAGCTGTCATTTTAGAATAAGTGTTTCTTACAACATAATAATCATCAATTGTAATTTTTCCAGCACATTCCGTATTTGTCTCCTTTTTTAAAAAAAATCTGAGTTTTACTTTATTTTAAGTACTCAGGCTTCCAAGTAGATACATTTTTTCTCAATAACAATTTCCCAGCCTTATAGACATCTTGCACTCTTGGAAGCTTAATAAGTAGTAGATATGTAAAGAGAAAACATTTAATTTTTGAATATGGATCTGAACTAAAGACAATTAAATATAATACTAAAATTTGATTTTAAAAAAGAAAATACCTAGCCCAACTGTGTTAACGTTAGCAAAAAGACAAAAAAAGTAATTCCATTTCAACCACCTGTTTGGTTTGGCTTCTGCCCACCACACCCTGCTCCCCTCATCTCTATCCCTCTGACTCTGGAAATAAAGAATTCAAAAATTAAGCTACTATACCCATATACAAGCAGTTAAGCTACTATACCATATACAAGCAGTTCACGACTTATCACCACATTTGAGCCCAAAATGTCCATTGCTAAGCAAGACAGTTGTGAGTTTTGCCTCATTTTGCAACCTTCCTTGCCACAGTTGTTAAAAGAATCATTGCAGTTAATTTAGCAACATGGTTATTAAGTGAACCTGGCTTCCTCATTGACTTTGCTTGTCAGAAGGTCAGAAAAGGGGATCACATGACCCTGGAACAACACAACTGTCATAAATACATGCCAGTTGCCAAGAGTCCTAATTTTTATCACATGTCCATGGGGAATGCTGCAATGGTGGTAAGTGTGAAAAACAGTCATAAGTCACTTTTTTCGGTGCCATTGTAACTTTGAGTGGACACTAAATGAATGGTTGTTAGTTGAGAACTACCTGTGGTAGCAAGCACTGATTTAAAAATTAAAGAAGAAAAGGTAAGGTTGCTACTCATCAGAAAAACTCAGAGCCTGGGAAAAATATTACTGAGCAAACAAGCATTTAAATCTTCTGCTCTCTTCTCCAAAATATATTTTAAAAAGGCAGAAGACTGCGGGATACTAAATACATAAATAAATGTATTACCTTTTGCCAATGTATGTGCTAAATCTACTTAAATACTTGCAAAAAAATCTGGCTAAAGTGATATCTTATGTCCATGTATTTCAAGTTGGTAGCTTATCCTGAAAGTTATAAAAAGTGATCTCTTCTGCTGGACTTCAAAAATTTAACAACTACAGGTCTACAAGAGAGATTGCACTTGCTCTTAAGTTATTTCTTTTTTCTTTAATGAAGTTATTTCTACACTGTTCATTTCACTGATGTGTAAACATTATTGTCTCATGCTTGAAACCAGATGGAGATAAGAAGGTTTCATGAATGCAAGGCATGCCTAACATATGTGATACTTGGAGCAGATAATTTTTTGACACTCGTCTCTCTGTCACTGATACCCCATGTTGCCTGTTGCCGAACATCTAATCAGCAACAGTGACCTAACTCCACACCTCCAAAGAGCCTCTTTACTATCTCCAAATTGTCAAACAATGGAAGAAGTTGTTAAAATTATAACATTAAGCAAATGAAGGAACTTTTTTTAACTTACTTTCCCTTGTTATACACTGAAAAGCTAACATTGTGTGACCCTGTAAGAAAACAAAACACATTTTCAGTGTAAGAAGCTGAATGTAAATTTACGAATGCTGTATTGTAGGGGTTTTTTTGTTTTTCATCAGTATAATAAACTATTTTCAGAATTCTGAGCACAACTTTCACTTTGACCTTTTTTTCCCTAGGAAAATAATATTTCTGATCTCCTTAGCTTTCACAAGGCTTTCATTTACTGTTTTATACTAGCTACTTATGGTTTGTCACACAGGCTAGGAATGTCCACTGGAAATAAAGATAACAGGAAGGGTCAGAAAGGAAAACTAGCTGATTCCTTGCAGAAGAAGACCAACACATACATTTTTATAATACTGAATAAAAACAAAGTAGTATATTATTTTCTCATTTTTACTAACCAATATAGTTGCCTTCCACTCGACACGCTATAGTTCCCAGGCCATTATCTAGATGAATAGGATAACTGTAAACAAAGCAAAAGAAAATATTACTGAAAAGGTTAAAATGTCTTGTTCAAATTAAGAGAGATCATGTTTCTTCCTTACGAAGACTTCTAAAAAGGTAATGATACATCAATTGCAGGATATTGCAATACAGGAGTTCATTGAACACAAAATCATTGAAATAATGTTAAATGCTTTTAAAGTTTTTGATACTAGATTAGGACATACTACATGAACTATTGTAATTTGCAAACCATAAATGTAATGATATTTTTTCTTTGCTGAAAGACAGAATGGATGCATCTCTATGTGCCAGCATTCAGGACTATATATCCATGCTTAGATGAACATAAGGTATCCATTCTTTATAAGAAAATAGCTTCAGCTCCTTGAACATTTTTCTTGCCACTTCAATATCTATAATATAATTTATGAGATACAGCACAGACTAGAACTGATCGCAACACTCATCATGTGATTGTACCATAGATTTGTATCAAAGCATTCTGATATTGCATATGTGAAAAAGGGAAGGGGGATAATTAGTTAATTAATTATGCTAGTAAGGATGAACTTCTGGTTTACTACAGGGACAACTGTTTGCCATCTTAACCTATCTCTAGGTTCCCCATTCCAAGGACATTTTTTTAATTTTTCTGATTCCATTCATCCATGCTATCTGTTGCCATCTACTTCCCAATATCAAGCACAGCCCGAGAATTGTTGCTTTCTCATCATTGCCTTGAGGGAGTAGCTAGTCTATATTTGGCCCAGACTGTTTCTTTTTCTTGAAGAATATTTTTTTCTTAGTAACCACCTCCAAGTTCATGATTTGATGTTATCTTCTTTCACTTGTTGTTTCTCACTTGCCCAGAAAAGTTAAGCAAAGTTAAGTATACAGCTGTTGATAACAAAATCAAAAAGTTCTGGATAATGAATTTAAACAAAAACCTGCCACACAATACACCAAGCTTAGATAAAGTAATAGAAAAGGAAAAAGTTAAAATGCCCTGGGACAGGTGCCTGCCACATAACACCCCACACCAATTGTTAATAACAAAGACAAAAAAAAATTCGCTAGTGGACCTAGAGACAGCAGAATAAAAGAGAAAGAAATGGAGAAAAACACCAGATACAAAGATCTGAAAATAGAAGAATGACTGTGGCAAAAGAAAGCAAAGATAGTACCAATAGTAAAAAATGCCTTGGGTGCAATCCCAAAACAACTGGAGCATCACTTGAACACTATTGGCATTGACAAAATCACCATCAGTCAATTGCAAAAGGCAGTTTTATTTGGAACAGCTTTTATCCCTGTGACAATACTTATAACACTATCCAACAACATCTGTCTATCCGAGATCTTTGGAAAAGCCTCAATAGGTGGATAAAAATGACAAATCCGGTCTAAATATGGCTGACTATGCAATCAATCACAATATAATAATAATAGGTTTAAAAAAACAAAACAAAAACAAGACATTTTTCAAATCTTCCCACAGAGCATTTGATGGTAATGATTGTGGGAAATGAGGGAAAGCCCAGCTCAACAAATTTTTGGAATGGGCTTTGCCTGCCTTCACTTCTCCCACTATGGTGGCTCCCTCCCACTGGAACATCATCCATGCAGAGATTAGACTGCCTCCCCCCCCCCACTCTTTTGTAAGGTCCTGAAGACCTGGTTTTGGCAATGGTCCTGAGGGAACTCAGTGGGATGGAGGCCAGGAAGCAGCTTGTCTGACTAATTGCTGTCACCAGGGAGGGCAGGGGAGGGTTATTGTTTTTATAGTTATATATTGTTTTTATTTTTTGTAAGCAGTCACTGGCAGTCAGTGGGCAGCCATATAAATGTTAGATAGATAGATAGATAGATAGATAGATAGATAGATAGATAGATAGATAGATAGATAGATAGATAGATAGATAGATAGATAGATAGATAGATAGATAGATAGATAGATAGAAGGGTGGGTGGGTGGGTGGGTGGGTGGATGGATGGATGGATGGATGGAAGGAAGACTGAGAAAGAGAGAGAGGGGAGAGAGATGGATTGTACTCAGGGCTTTTTTTTCTCATAGAACGCCCAGAACAGAGTTCTGGCACCTTTTTTGGATGGAACCTTGTAGGGTAGGCAAGGCGGGTTGTATGACGTGTGTGAGTTCTGGCACCTTTTTTTTTTTTTTTAGAAAAAAAGCACTGATTGTACTTAAAGAATTGAAACTGGTACTAAGAGAATTGGCCTAAAAGGTTAAGTGTTACTTTTTTGTTTGTAGCCAGATGCACAACACAAGTCTCACTGATGAAGATGATGACAGACATTTTTTTCAATAATGAAATGTTATTCGTTTATTTTAGCTTTATGATAATTGTGTCAAAGTCTTTCTGCCCTCTCCCATCTCCAGTTGCCCAGCCTCTGTATTGGTATGAACACTGGGGACAATGTCCATTAAAATATATCAATTTCTGAATCCCAGCCTTGATCTTTTTTCTATGAAGGGAGGAAGGAATCCCTCTGCATTGGATGGGAAAAGTTTTAAACACATTAACTGCATCAAGTCTAATTGTTGGGTCAAAAGAGTGTAAAGAATAAGCTCAGGTTAATACTTAACCTGTTTTCTTTTCCTGTGAAAAAAGTCACTATCCAGCCTCAGAACTTCTAAACAATTACTTATTAAAACACTTCACAAGATAGCTTCATTGATTTCCTGGTTCCAAACAAAGATCTTTTCATGAATTAACAGCAGGAGAGGTTTGAAAACAGACTCAATCATAGGTCTCATTGTCTCTGAATCCCCACACTATGAAGTCTCGCTGACCAATACTGTAATTGTCAGAACTGATTTCACAACTTGAGATTGTTTCCATCATCATCTTAAATCTAGAAATTAACTTTCATTAATACTTAGCAATCCAGGTGAGTACAGAAGATGGCCTCAGTGAATGCCACGGGACTTATTTTCAAGTGAATGAATGCAACCTAAAGCCTTTAAGGCACTTCTAAAAATAATTTATATTGATTCAAACAACCTGCACCAATACAAGACCTGTCTGGTAAACTTCTAAACTTTAAAGAATATAGTGTAAAAGAAATGATGATTTATAACTTACATGCCACGTGTCTGCTCACTGGCAAGAGAACAAATAGTTATCCACCCATCATTTTCTGCCTCAAGGATTACAGGCCTAGTGGTGAAGGGACATAGTTAGTCAAGCCGGGGGGGGGGGGGAATAACATATTCTCATATATTTTCCCTCTCTTCTTCTCTCCTCCCCTCTAAAAATACCCTAATGAAGGTACTATCAATGGGAAAACCGCACCTCCGCCAACACTGGCATGGCAAGCCACATGATGTAAACAGGGAGCTAACCCCATACTCACCAAGACTGATGATGCTACTAGTTGGAAAATGAAATGTCTGCAACCAAACAGCCAAGCTCAAAGAGCACCAAGGGCTCCACAGTTAAACCCTGAGCTATAGATATTTTCTTCTATTGGAAGTTAATTATGTCTTTCTTTTTGTCTTAAATTCGGGCACATCTCTCTCCCCTTTATTGCTTCACAAAATATAACAAGAAGTTTACAAGGAAGTGAAATGCCCTTCATTTACTATCTTCCACCAGCACTCTAGGAACAAATTGAATATTATGTCCAAAACATTATGTCAGTCAGCAAGCAGTGAAATCACTTGCTTATCAGCCATTTGTTTGAATCCCATTCAGGCAATTGTGTGATCTAAACAGATTAGCAAAATAGTCCTCCTGATCCCATTTTGCACAGCCACATGTCACCGTCAAGAGGTCACATCTGCTCTATTCAGCTTCAAATATATAGGAACGCAGATGGCGGAACAATATATATCCATTTATATCACTTCAACATCCTTATTAATTGCATTTCCAAAATACGGGAAAATACTACTGCACATTGTAACTCAGAGAAACATTTAACACGGGTTTACCCATCAATAAAGTCCATGCTGAAATTGTAAGTTTCATAATCTTGGGCCAGAATCCGACCATAAATTTGTATTACATTTCCTATTGAGAAAATAAAAAGTAGAAATTAGAATGTGTTGCTTCAAAACAGGGGGTTGGACTAGAAGACCTCCAAGGTCCCTTCCAACATTATTATTATTAGTAGTAGTATTAGTATTAGTATTATTAGTATTATTAGTAGTATTAGTAGTATTAGTAGTATTAGTAGTATTAGTAGTAGTATTATTGTTGTTGTTGTTGTTGTTATTATCAAAATGGAATCTATATGAAAAATGAGAAAGGGGAGTAATGCATTGATTTGTTTGGTGCAAATTCAAACCAATAAAAATGTCCTTTATAAGAAATACAGCTCAGAATAAAACATGTTTTCATTGTGTTTTTTAAAAAGTCTCATTCATATATACAGTAGACATAAATGAACTTCGAAGTATCCCATTCCTCTTATTTGACATTCCTCCTCTTTTTTATTGGCTTATGATACGCTTCTTTCACCTTTAAATCTTACATACATGCTATCACATACAGGACTGCTTTCTTCAGCCAAAAGTGGCACACATGACACACATTTTCTGGGGAAACCTGGTGGTCTTTCCCTATGTCTGCAAATTAGGAAGTTGATTCTGGAAAGCCTTCCACTGGAGATTAGATTTGCCCCTAAGTAAAGAGTCTTTTAAGAGCTGATAAAAATTGTGTTGTTCAAGATAGTTTGATGAGTGGGTGCTGTTTTGAAGTTCGTATATTTACCTCCAGTTGTTTTAGGATTAATTTTATTGTGGTATATTCATATTATGTGCAGAATTCTTCCAAAAGTTCCTGATTTCTGGTGCTCAAGTCTCCACAGAGCCAAGATAAGAAAGGCAAACAATGACACACATGTGTTGATGTCCTCATGCAAATGCCACAAGTTATATTTCTTGTATCAGAAGTTGTGATGTACAGGCAGTCCTTTACTTACAACCACAGTTGGGACCAGAATTTCCACTGCTAAGCAAGGTAGTTGTGAACCGAATCGTGCCCAATTTCACAATCATTTTTGTCATGGCTAAGTAAAGCGTTGCAATTGTTAATGTGGTCATTAAGTGAATCTGGCCCTCTCCCATTGATTTTGCTTGGGAAGATCACAAACGATGATCACATGACCCCGGGATGCTGCAACCAACATGCTAGTTGCCAAGCAACCATATTTTGATCATATGACCATGGGGAACCTGTGATGGTCATAAGTGCAAAGACCAGTCATAAGTCATTTTTCTTTCAGTGCCTCTGAATAGTTGCTAAATGATTGGTTGTAAGTCAAGGACCACCTGTATGTTAGTAACTTGGTATAGGGTTTCCTGCCTGAGCAGGGGATTGGACTAGAAGACCTCCAAGGTCCCTTCCAACTCTGTTATTCGATTCTTATTCTACTCTAATTTACACAACCATATAATTATTGCACACGTGTTGCTTATACATGCTGTTCTCTTTGTGGCTTCATGGACATATCCATGTAGATTTCATGTCAATAGTACAGGCGTGAGTTGTCACTGCTGCCTTCTGGGATGTTTTGTGAACTTTCCTCTTTGTGGGGGGAATTCTCATCCAAATGCCAACTGAGATGTTTTTTTCAAGATCAGGTTTCCTAGATACTGCCAGTTTGAAAGATTTGAAAATTTCTCCTCTTGAATTTAAATCAATGTAAACTTCAGAATGTAAATTAGTTACTTTTGAATTCATTAAAATAAATTAAAATGTCTTTCGATAGCTGGCCATTTCTTTTGCTTGCTTTAAACCTCCATTGTATTCCATTGTGAGATATCATTATGAAGGAACATAATTATATCATGGTAGAGTGTAAAATGTACCTGCATCTTTCAGGAAAACTATGGATACACAGATTCCAGCAAGGTCTTCCACTTCCTGATCTTCAGCCCTACTTTTCCAGCAATATGAGTGAGATGCTTATTTTCTCTTTTAGAGCCTGGCCTAAAAGCAGCACTTGCAGCTTTTGACAATTTAGCAACTCCTGCATATGTCCTTCCCCCCATCTTTCTCCACAGACTGAAGACCTGAAGTCAGGGATCGTTGCTTGCCAATAGCTTATTAGGGTAATGTTTATATTAGTATTTCAGTTTTAAAATCATTTCTTTACCTGGGACTCCATATGGTGGGTTCACTTGAAACACTACAGGTGTCTCTGCAATAGAGAACTATTAAGACAAGAATATATTATACATTTGATCATTCTTCAAAAATGGAATGCTTCATTCAGTTTCAATGGGCTCCTGGCCCCTAAATTGAGCACCTTCATTTCAATAAAATTAATTTAACATAGCAATGGGCTCTTACTTATACTTCAGCAAAATAGTGGGAATATTGATACTTTCTGTTCATTATGCATGTTATTGTTCTGTCACTAAGCTCTTGCAAACTTATAGGCAAACTTGCAGTGCAATCTAGCATGATACTGTCCACTTTTCTGAATGGTTGTGTATTTTTGCTCATAAATAATATATTTATGTTAGAGAAAATGCTAAAATATGCAAAAATAGTCCTGATTTTAAAAAGCAGCAAGATGAAAATAAATAATAATAATAGATATGTAAATCAAATGTAATGCACTTAACTTTGGAGAAATTATATGGGTCCACCCATTCCTAGCTACATAACATAGTTTTCAAGATTGGGCAATGGTACCGCTATTATACCAACATTAAAGAATATACCAACACAAACCCCATTTGGAGACTTTTCAGACTCAGTTTTCTTAAGCTTGATTTCTGGGGAGCCTATATAAATTTTGGTGAAGTTCCACAAGGGCCATCATCCTTTACAGAACATGTATTTCTGGATAAGAAGGAGATAAGAATACTCCTCTCATCGTACTGATTATCAGAAAATGGATATCAGTCTTGCAAAACACTTTTTGGACATGTTTGATACTGTCAGGAAAAAAATCAATCAAATGGAACATTTTATAGAAGTTTTCCTGAAATTGGTCATAACCAGATGCTGTCTATATTGCCACAACTATTAGAGAAAGAATATTTTTTCCCATGTCCATAGGTCCCAGGTTCCCAAAACAAAAAGCAGCAATTTGTGTTTTATTTACTTGGTTTATGTTTCATCTATATCTCTCCAAGAGTTGTCACAATTTTTGTAAGTCAGCTGACCTGGAGAACAGGATCTTACCTTTAATAAGCAAACTGTTAAAAGATGGCTTTGTCATGCACAATCAAAATTAGGTTGTATTTTTAGAGGATGCTAGAAGTTCTAATTTATAGAATGTTTTGCATTTGTATTTTGTTTTTGTTTATCATTTAAACCACACCTATGTTGATACAGTTCCATTATCTACTTACAGTGATAGAAAACCCAAGATGGTTTCTCTTTCAGAACTCTGCCCCAAGTATAGGAAAAGAGGTACAACTTAACTTAGCAAAATGATATTCCATGAGATCATATAGCAAAATTAATCTTGCCTATTTAAATTCTTCTTGGAATAAAAATAATAGTAACATCCAACATTGCATTAGCAGCTCTTCTGTCACTCGTCCTATTCATCGGAGTCTCACTACTTAAGCTACTTTATTATGTACCTGGAATGTACAGTTCTCTTCATATAATTCATCTAGGTTGCTGATACTCTGTCCATTCAAACTCAGCAAGAGATGGTAAAGTCCTTCCCTTGGAGAAGATCTTCAAGTAAAATAGTGAAAACAGAGGAAAACTCAATGTTAATAAGAGAGACAATGAACTTCTCATTTTGCATTATTCAGTTAAATTTAAAACTAAAGCTAGACATGACGAGGCTGTAGTTTCCTCTGGCTGATTTTGCCTACAAAATGTTTTTGCCCTCAACTTCCTGTAGTAGAGGAGGAAATGACAGAGAAGATACTTCAGGATACAGAACAGCAGGTGGGAAAGGACCCTAAGAGTAGAACTGGATGTGAGGAAGAAGAATCAAGAAGATATGGCAGCTTCTTCTTAATAACTTAGCCAGGTATAGTCTTATCTGTTAATCAGCCCTAAAACTGACTGTAAAAAAAGGAACAATTGTATTATTTTTACTGCATGCCAGCTGAGAACTAAGGCTTTTCAAACATACATGAAGTGCAAACAACTTCATCACTGCAACAGTTGAAGAGAGCTTGTGCTTAGATGAGTTGCACTGTACAGTTTTAAGCAGGATAAGCTTTTTGTCACATAGAAAAAAAACACTTGCTGCATTTCAGGAGAAAAAGCTGTACAAAACAAAACCAAACAAAACTGGGTGATGTGAATTTTTTTTGGGTTGGTTGGCTGGTTTGGGTTTATTGTTACCGTAAGGATGGAGGGGGACAAAACAAACTTTATATGGAATACAGTTACAAACCATCAGCAAAGTGCACTAGGTCAATAGTTTAAGTTAGTAATAATTATCCCGAAACCTAATCTTTAGGCTTAAATATTTTTCTGTCACTATTCAGGTATGTGTTAGACTTGTTAATCATTATTTGAAGTTTTTTAAAATGCTGACTTCCTTCTTGGCTCTTAGGTCAGAATACAGACTAAAACTATTTTATTGTTATTCATCAATTTCTTAACAGAAATAAATCACCAGGCCTGAGGCGCTGTAGAAACTACTCAACAATATGACTTTTTATTCTACAACCAGTTGTTTTTGTTCACCTGTCTCCAAAAGTCTTGTACTACAGCTTCCCTAACATCCAAATAACAAAGTCACTGGATTGCCTCGCCTTGAAATATTATATAAAACAGGACAATTGTTTTACCTTTACTTTAAAATAATGATGACTTACGAGACTTACATTAAGCTTTAAAAACAAATTTATCAGTTAATTCTCATTACAATAGGACTTACTTCTCATTTAGTGTGACTAGTGAATTGAAAAAAAATTGAAAACTGCTAAATGTATAACAACTCATTTTGCTGCTGGGGTGACAAAATAAAAATAACAATTAATCTAAACATCTAACTGACTATGCAATCAACTACTACAACAATAATAATACTGCTGCAAGATGGTCATAGAGACTGATTACAAACAACAGTGTGACAAAGCAGCAACAGTGATACATTGGAAGATCTGCAAGAAATACCACTTGCCTGCAAACAAGAACTGGTGGGACCACAAAATAGACAAAGTAATAAAAAATGAAGAAGCTAAAATGCTCTGGGCCTTTAGAATTCAAACAGACAGGAACCCGCCACATAACACCCCAGACTTAACAATTGTCGATAAGAAAGACAAAAAATTCTGGATAGTGGACATGGCAGTATTCAAAGAGAGCAGAAGAGAAGAGAAAGAACTGGAGAAGATAACAAAATATAACGATCTGCAAACAGAAATAGAACAACTGTGGCAAAAGAAAGTAAAGGTAGTACCAATAGTAATAGGTGCCTTGGGTGCAATCCTGAAACAACTGGAGCACCACTTGAACACCATTGGCACTGACAAAATCACCATCACTAGTCAATGGCAAAAGGCAGATTTGCTCAGAACAGCTTATATGCAGTGATGTTATCTCTAACTCCACAAAACATCAACATCTGCCTACCCCAGGTCCTTAGGGAGGATTTAATTGATGGATAAAAATGCCAACATTTGGCTGAGTGTGTGACAAACCATATTAATAAAAGCAATGCCTTTCACTGCATCACAATACTATTTCTTCCAGTTAAATTGGTGCATTTGCATAATACATTGAACGTATATCTCATAAGCCAGTCTCATTGAAGTTTATCTGTCTTGATGTGCAACATCAGCTCTCTGCTGATTAAGACACAGTTCTACAATAAGTCATTTCCAATATGTTTCTGGTACATTTTTAAATATGTTTGGATGCCCACTAAGTTTAAAGGAAACTCAAAGCTTTGAGTAGTCTATAAGACATATCTTAACCATATGGTGACAGGCCAGTAATATTATACTCTGCTTCTAGTAATTATCATGCAGAAAATAATTTTTACCTTGTTTGGCATTTTACTGTGGACATGAAGAAACTGACAGGTATAACATCACACAGCACTGGACGCAGCTCTGGATTCAATAACGCCACTTCGGGCTGTGACCAGTTGACCAAATGAGAGAGACCTAATGGTAAGCAACAAACAAATAAACAAAACCTCAAACAGTATTATTACTATTTATTGTATGGCACGTTCACATCACATTTCAAATTTGAAATATTTTTGAAGTAAAGAAGATTGTATAGGATAAAAATTATACTTTATAAGGGACATGGGAGGCATAAAAATAATAAATATTGATATTCCTTTTCATAAAATGTACCAAATTCAGATATTATTAGTATATCACAGATGTTTTCAAACCTATAATAAAGAAAATTATATTAACATATGCAATAGATTACCTTTTCTTTTAGCTCTTTCCTCATTATGCAACTTTATGGCAATTTATTAGCTGATTGCCAAGTTGGCCCTTGTTTTCTTTTGTTTGCATAATTATAGAGCATGTGGCTAATAATAATAATAATAATAATGATAATAATAATAATAATGATAATAATAATAAAGTTGGAAGGGACCTTAGACCAATATTTTTATTTACACACTAGGAATAGCTCTCTGAAAACAGAAAGGTTATGCAGCCTGAGAACAAAAGGTCTGTAGTTTTGTTTTTATGCTCGGCCACAAATTTCTTTAATCTTTTCAACATTGGCTGATTTCAGCACTTAGTTTTTAAAGAATGCTGCCTGAGATTCAGGAGATTTGAAATTCCATCAATCTGAGCTCAACTTCTATTGATGGCAGGATCATTGCTTGGTACGGCAATCTGTGTCTAGTAAAAAGCTGTAGTGTTTCTAAGGCATGTCCTTGATTCCACCCATCTACCTCTTGTGGTTTTCTTCTTCAGTGTTTACTATCCTCAACTTTGCTAAGCATAGTGATTGCTTTCTAAGTCTATCCTCTGCTCATATAATATACCCAGCTTTTCCTTGCTAATCATTACCTTATGGAAACATTGGTTTTTTTTTCTATTTTGGGGTTCTTGCAACCCATGATGTTTTAGTAAAATCATATCCATAATTTGAAAGAGTCTACCTTCTTTTTCTCACTCATGCTCAAAATCCAGCTTTCCTAGTCATACATTACCACTGGAATTTGAAATCAAAGAATTCCAAAGTGTATTTGGCAAAGATCAACCTAAAAGAGGTATTTTGCTATTCCCTTTTGCTCAGAAGAATTGGACTGTGGAACAGACAAACTGTAACTCAGCAATATCTGAAGTGCCACATGGTTCCTAGGACAATTCTAAAATAATGTCATCCTAAACCATGTAAAGGAACTGCTTATCTTAAATAGGTATTCAAAGTACCATCAAAGTTTATTGTGATCCAGGTTCCACCACCAAGGCTGCCACTTTTAGGTTCCATGATTAACTTTGCCAACTTTGCCAAGGTAACTAAGAAGAAAGAAAACACCATCTGTTATATAACGGCAGAGACAGCCACTTTCCCGATACATAGTCCTTGCTTAATGTCAGTAATTGGGACTAGAATTTTTGCCAAAAAGTGGTACAGTTAGAACATGTAATGTCATGTGATGGCAATCTGAGCCGTCCCCATTGCTCTGGTTAAGTGAGGTTTGTAGGTCTTCAAGCAAGGATTTTCTCGCTTTGATTGGGGAGGATAGGTAAGTGGCTGCTGTGATGTAGCACGACAGCAACAGGACCCTTGGATGGCTGCCAACAGCAGGAGGGAGGTGCACTGGGACCCACAATAGTGTGGTATGAGCATGGTGGAGCCAGAGATGGCTGCAATTACCATTCATTTCTCTTATATGTGCCTTGTTTGATGTTAATATTCAAACGAAAGAAATCATAGGAGATTTTTCCCTTGCTTGATAGGATCAAATAGGCAGACATACTTCTGTATAATGAATATGTTATATAATGATGTTGCTCCATAAAGTGGTTTCATAGAACTTACCTGCAACAAAAAGAAGCAAAGTCTTGAAAAAGAATGACATTAAAAAATCCATCTTTATCCTCCACATATGCTTTCAATTTGAGACTTCCTGTTGAGATTGCGACATCATAAATGATCAAAGCTTAGCAGTTTTCCCATTTTTCTCTGCAAGAGAAACATACTCTACATTCCTTTATTCACATTAGATCCCTTTGCAGCATAGAGATAGATGCCCAGTAGACATTTAACACCAGATCAGAATAGTTATATAAAACCAGGAAAAAAAACCTGTCAAAGAGAAATTTCTTCTCATGTCTTTGAATCAAAGGCGTAAAAGAGAGATCTGTGAAGATACAGAAACATTCTGCTTCCCTGCATGTATGCTTGCCCATCATGCTATTCCCTTTTGGGATAAGCAACTTTATACAAAGCACAGAAAAGGAATGAAAAATATAAGCCAACTAAATTATAGGCTGAGATAAGAAAAAAAAAGGAAACATAGCTAAATCTGGCTTGTGCCAACAGTTTCACTATGCGTATCTCTATGGTTCTATCCTTCCAAATTACTATCTTGGTCTTCAGTACATCACCTTTCAACTGAAGGTATCATAAAATCTAAGACTTACTGAAAATCATTTGGATTCACAGTGATCCACACAGCCTTCTATACAAAATCAAATGCATAATCACATTTCAACCTTTACTGAGATCATACAAATTCATTCATGATTAGAATAAACAACAAACCATTTCCTTAAGTTTCTTTTTTTTTCATTTTCTATTAATTTTATTTGGACATTTTCTAATATCATT